CATCTCAGAAAGTTAAAGGCGTTAGGTGAGCTCGTGTTCACAGAGCCCCTGCCCAAGCAAGGGTCAGTACAACAGGCTACTACTACTCTTGTCCTAAACTGGTCTGCTGGATACTGAAATACAATTCATTTCAGTTACATATTTTTATTGATGCTTACAAGATGTACATAAAAACTAAAAATCTAGTACACACGTTTCAGGTATTTCTAAAGAAGTAGAAAAATCCATGTGCGGGCTACCAAAAAGATAACCTGCTGCAGAGACAGATTTTTACTTGGGATCCCAAGAGACTAAAAACATGAGACATGGGTATTTTTTTTACTATGGTCTTTATGGGAAACTTCCTCTATCTTTCATTTCATCCATCAGGAGTCTCCAATAGCTTGTGACAGGGAGGATGCTAGAAAGCTGGAAGGCAGTGATCAGGATGGGTGGAGGCAGTCCAGGGAATAGGATTTTTTTTAAACCAAATCCTTCACCAGCTTATATATTTGAACACTGATATGTACCCCAGGGTCTTCAAAAATGTATTGAAACTTTAGGCATTAGACTTATATGATTGTGTCACATAAATATCTTTATTTTTTTGGATTTCCACTGTGTGATCATTTACCATAACAAAGCTCTCTTGTCCGCTGGAGTCTTCCGGCTGCCCAAAGGGCTTCCTCTAGGATTGCTGGAGTGCTGATCTGCTGCACCTCACTCTTCCATCCTCTCTGCATTTGAAAAAGTCTTTCTTTAGCTACCTTTTTTTTCTTTTGGAAGATATTTTTGCTGGGTATAAAATTTATGTTGACTGGGGGCGCCTGCGTGGCTCTGTTGGTTAAGCAGCCAACTCTTGGTTTTTCTGGCTCAGGTTCTGATCTCAGGGTCGTGAGATCAAGGCCCATGTTGGACTCTGTGCTCAGAGGGGAGTCTGCTTCTCCCCCTCCTCTGCTTCCTCCCACCGCGCTCATGGTCTTGCTCTCTCTCTCTCTAAAATAAATAAATCAATCTTAAAAAAACAGAATTTATGTTGAGCATTTCCTTCAATACTTCAGGATGCTGCTTGCCTCACTTCTGGTTGGCACTATGTTGCTGAGTCGTCGGTCAACATTGTCTTTGTTCCCTGGAGTCATGTGTCTTTTTCCTCTGGAAGCTCTTAGGATTTTTCCTTATCATTGGTCTTAAGCAATTTTGTTATCATATGCCTTTACATGCTTTTCTTCATGATCTTGTGCTTGGGATTCATTGAGCTTCTTGAATCTGTGGGTTTATAGTTTTCCTCCAATTTGGAAAAATTAGGGTCATGATTTCCTCAGATATTTTTCCAGTCTCTCCCCTCCCTGCTCTGAGGACTCTTCAGGGACTTGAATATCCCATATACTGGGCTGCTTGAAGTTGTCCCACAGCTCACTGATGCTTGCTCAGTTTTCCCCCCAAGCGCCTTTTCTGCATATTTCATTTTGGATAGATTTTATTGCTGTCAGTTCGCTGATCCTTTCTTCTGCCGAGTCTGACCTTCCGTTAACACCATCTGGCATAGTTTTCATGTCATCACTGAAGTTTTTCCTCTAGGAGTTCAATCAGATCTGTTTTTAAAAACACACCCTCCATGCCTCTAACATGAGTAATTCTCCCTCTAGCTTTTTGAACATATGGAGAACAGTTAAATTGACTCTTTTAATGTCCCTGTCTAGTAATTCTATCATTTCTGAGCTGGGTTTTATTAGTTAATTTTGTTCCTCATCATGGGTCCTATTTTCCTGATTCTTCACGGTCTGGTAATTTTTGATCGGCTGCCCTCATGAATGTTACATGGCTGGGGGATGGATATTTTTATGTTCCTATAAAAATATGCTTCAGGAGCGCCTAGGTGGCTCAGTCCATTAAGCATCTAACTTTGGCTTAGGTCATGGTCTCGGGGTCCCAGGATCAAGCCCCGTGTGGGGCTCCACACTCAGTGGGGAATCTGCTTGCCCCTCTTCCTCTCCTTCTGCCCCTCCCCCTACTCGTGCTCCCTCTCCCTCTCTTTCTCTCAAATAAATAAAAGCTTAAAAAAAGTGCTTCGGCTTTGTTCTGGGAGTCAGTTAAGGATCTTGGAAACAGTTTGATTTTGTTTTTAAGCTTTGTTTTGCTTTTAAGCTTTCATGTTTTGCTTTTAAGCTTTGTTAGGTGGGACCAGGGCAGAGCTTAGTGCGATTTCCCATGGCGTTTACACAGAATGTTTCTGAGAACTCTGCCCCAAGGGCCCCAAGTTAGAGGCTTCTCACTCTGCAAAGTGGGAACAGTTACCTTCTTCACGTGCGTGCCCTGACAGTGCTCAGCTGAACATGTGAGGGGGATGCTCTGCTGATCTCTGGAGTACTTTTCTCTCTGTACAGCTCTCTTTTCTCTGCCTAGGAAACTCTAGCTGCTTTGGCCTTCCTGGACCGCCAGGTCCATCCCATCGGTTCAGAGACTGCTGTCCTCTGCCTGGGCTCCCTCTCACTGCAGCCTGGAAACTCTCCCAGCTAAAAGCTGGGCAGTCACAGGGCTTGCCTTGCTGGTTTTTGATCTCTCAGGGAGCCCTGTCCTTCACTCCTGATGCCAAGGGCTCGAGTTCCCAGCGTCATGTGTTTCGCTTGGCTTTTAGTTTCAATACAGGAGGATAAACCCAGTCCCTAGTCCCTAGTTGGCCAGAAGCAGGAGTGCTCTGATCAGGGAATTGCATGTTCAAGACCCCAGAGTTTTTTTTCCCTTTGGCAGGACAACCAGCGGCACATGGGCCGGGGTGGTGGGGGGCTGTTCGCTGAGTGACTGAAGAAGTCACTCAGGAGTCCGATAGCTTTAGCAATAAGGTTATTTGTTGTTCCAAGCTGCTAAGATTTTAGGCTTGTTTGTTACTGCATCATGAAATAGCCCATTCTGACCAAACAGGGTTTTCTGAGTACTACACGAGACAGAATATATGAAGAGAACATCGTATGTGACGGATACAGAGCGTAGGAAGAATGAGGCACAGGGCTCAGTCCACAGTAAGTCCTACGAAACCACACAAACCGAATGTGAGACTTGACCGGCAAGGGACGGCCCTTCACTCCAAGCGTTCGTAACCTTGGCTTGCATCTGGCTTCACTGCGCTGGGTGGACCCGGGAAAACGACAACATGATGAAGAAAACAGCACAGTCCCTTCCTTCTGGAGCTGATTGAATAGCAGGGAAGCGAGGATTGGGACAAATAACGCTCCTTGGTGAGCACTCAGTCATCCCCAACTGGTGAGTGCTGTGCTGAAAACATACAGCTTGCTCACAGAGTGGGAAATGCTAGCTTCTGGAGGATGCAGGAAGGCTTCTCTGAGGAAGGGACATTTGAGCCGGGATCTGAAGGACAAGCAGGCATTAACCAGGTGCAGGGACCCCAGGAGGGGCGCGGCTGGAGGGAGCCTCAAGCCACAGAAAGGACCTGCTTGTGTCCAGAGGGCACTCAGAACCCACCGGAGGACACTGGACTTGGTGCATGGATGACACAGTAGAAGGGCACCCTTAGAGGGCCGTCGAGGTGGCGTGGAGAACAGACTCCTGGGGACGGGAGTGGGGTGGAGGGGCTGTTGGGGGCAAGTTGGGGAGGGGAACAGTCAAGGACAGGTCCCTAACAGACAGGTCCCTAAGCACTCAGACGTAAATGTGGGACACAGGGACACGTCCAGGTTGGCTCTGGGTGAGGAGATGGATGACGGGGCTGTTGGCTTACATGGGCGCAGCGGGAGAGGGCCAGCTTTGGGGTCATAAATCCCACAGGTTAGACGCGCCGAGCTTGGTGCTGAGACGTCCCGATTCGTGGAGAGGAGCTGGTGCACTTTGCTTCAGCGAAGGAAGCAGCCAGCGTCGCCCCTCTGCACCCCCCACAGCACAGGCGGGATAAGCTCCTAGTGTGGCCCTGCTGATCTAGAGACAGGAAGTGTGCGGGGCTGGGCTCTCTGTGAGGACACGGGGTGGGTCTACGTCCCACCGAAGGGGATCCATCTGTATGGAGCGGATGTGGGCAGGCAAACTTGTCGGTGGGGAAAGAGGAGGCTGCTCAGCTCAAAGAAGCAGGACGTGCAGCGCCAGGCTTGCGGGTGTGGTCTGCGCCCAGGGACCACGGTGCTGGCTCTTTGTCCGGGCCACCTAGGGCCACTGCTGGATTATTCTACCTGCTGCACCTGCTGCACCACCACGCAAGCTCGTTCCCCCACCGTCGTTCCAGAACCAGGGCCCCTGAATGTCGGTGCGCTCAGGTCCCCCCATCGTACGGGAGTTGGTTTCCCGTGTGCGTGGAAAGACTATTCACAGATTGCTGTTGCTAGTTTCGGTCCCACCACGCGGCGGTTAGTGGAGCAAATTGCTTCTCAGTATCCGTACTTCACAGAGAAGTCCCATGTGTCTGAGCAGCAGTCCCCCTTCTTCCTTTGAAGTGTTCTGAAAGGCTGCACAGACAGCTACAGGGTCTGGCACACACAGCAAGGGGCTCCTCCTGGGCCGGAGGGCAGATGAGAGCTGCCCCCCGAAGCTCCCGAAAATACGATTAACGGATCTAAGACAGGCTCTCATCGCTCAACTCCCCAAACAGCAGATGGCACCTCGGGCGTTTCATAACTTTACAATGACCGCTCCTAACAAATCGGAACATATAATTAAATGTTTGTCCGATAACGTAAGGGATCGTTCCAGGGCCCCTGGCCAAAGAAATGCCCTGCTTTTCGGTTCTCCCCTCTCTGGCTGTCCAACTTTCCCTGTCCATTCTCCCCTGATCTAAGCTTTGCAAAAAATGCCCACATGCACCTTCTTCATTGCCTTTTTTTAACCCCCTGTGAAAGCTTCTGACAGCTCAGTATGTCCGGGAACATTTCAAATGCCCCGAAGACTGTATGGGTTCCGGGCTGGGCAGGAAACACGACACAATGGGCAGGGGGAGCCACAACCGTCCTCAAATGACGCCCAGTGTGTGACGACACGGGACGGGCAGTTTGGGCAGAGGGCCAGCAAGTGAAAAACACAGGTCACTGCACCTTTTATTTGTCATTATACAAACTGATGGGACACAAAACACACTCAACTTCTCAAAACAGTCTCAATGCCTTTCAAAATCCCACGGGACGTCACCGACGATGCCGTCTTGGGCTGAGAAGCCACGAGCTCTACGCCTTCGGACGCCGTGGCCGGAAAGAACGCGTAAGGTCCGTGACTCTGCCCCCCACACCCGGATTCTCCAAGGTAGGCTCCCGTTGGGCACAGTGAGGTGGCGCCCGACACAGGCCATGCGTCCCCCGCGAGCGCCGCTCCAGAGACCCAGTCCCCTCCTCGCCACCGTGGCCTTGGATCCAGCTCCGCGAGATTCACACCGTGAAAGTGACACGGAACTACACAGCTTTACAAATCCACAGGTCACGAGTAAGTTCCCAAGATTTCTTAGAATAACCAACACGGACTCACAGAGCTTGGTGGCCACTCCTATGCACATAGCTGTCCACCTGGGATCGGTCGAAAATTTAAACACTTCCCATCAGTAAACAGGGATGTATGTGCAGAACAATCTACAGTCGGGGACTCTCTTGGCTGAGTGGCACTTTTTTTTTTTTTTTTTTTGCTCCCCAGTCCCTTGTATGCAAATTCATAGCAATGGTTTTAAAGACGACAGGGACCTATTTTGCCTCCCACAGTGACCCTATTAAGACCAAGTGTGTCTACAGAAAACTCAGGAGCGAATCCGATTTTTATTCAGAGTTCTAACTGGTGGTTACGCGAAGGATCGTTCCACTGGTGTGTGTGAAGGAACAGTGGGAGGACACCAGGGCCACACAGCCTACACGAGGTGCTTTAAAAACATTTGATGCATCCTTACTCCAGGCACGAAAACAATGTCTTTAAAAAAATAAAATTGTGATTTAAAAGGCCTTTATTACACCGGGACGAGGAGTAAGAGGTAAAGGCTAACAGAGGGTTAACTGTGTTTGTATTTTTAGTTGGTCATTCACCCTTTCTATGCTGCAAGAGCAAAAAAAAAAAAAAAAAAAAAAAAAAACTGTCAGTGATTTTTTTAAAAAAATACATTAGGAACCTTGGTGCTCTTGATGATCCCGTGGGTACCCAGACCATTTATATTTGGAGAATGAAGACAATATTTTAGAAAATATATCACTCCTAGCCCAAGTTCATTTGATGAAACTATTGTGTATAAAGCAGTTAATTATATACATAAATAACATAAAAATAATTATCATAAATTAAAAAGTCAAATAATCTCCCACTATGAATTCGACCGCCAGGTAGGAGACAGAAGTGTGACTGAGCTGTGTCTGGAGGCCCTCTTACGTACTGCGTGTGTGAGCATCTCCGCAGTTCTGAAGGCATGCATTGCACGAAACAAATTCTAGCCCTAGCCTCAGAATCTTGCTAATCGGAATAAAGTGAAGTGCTAGGAAACTTGCATTTTGCAGAACGAATCATCCTTAGCCTCACCGGAAACACAAGATTCCTCCGGCCTATGTATCCACTTCTTGACTCCTTGTCGTTCTTTCCTCCACGTGGATCTCCCAAGGAATATAGGATGCACGATAAAGAGTGAGGAGGCCAGAATAAGGCAAATGTTATGATGTCATTGTGGACAGCGTTACAAGGTATCAGGAGGGTAAACACTGAGCCCCTGTGTCCCTGGCTGAGCAGCAGGAGAGCGTGAGCCTGGCCCAGCACCTCTGACAGGTGCTCACGTGCGTGAAAGCGCATGTCCCAGGGACGGAGACGTGGCTGTTACTCGGCACGTTCGTCCACGAAGGCTGTTCACGCTTCTCCACGTGAACTAAACTTTTCTGCTTTCATTGCTGCCTGGCAGGAAATGGCAGTACCTCTGTACTTCAGAAAAACCTCTATTTTCCTGCTGTGAAGAGCCAAGCTCGTTCAACATTTTTCTAGAACACTGGTCTTAAAACACGTCAACCTTTGGAATTCAGTTGAGACAGAAAGAAAACATGAATTTCTTCCCTGTTCTTCGGTGGGTTTGGCTGAGTCTCAGCCGTAATAAATATATTTGGCTGGCAGAGGATCCCCAGGCAGCTCTGCAGGAGCCGCCAGAAGGGACTTGTCACACATGGTGCTGTGTCCCTTGCGCTCAAGAAGCCATGCAGAGCTGCACGCGGACCAACATTCCTACAGTGCAAACGACTTCAGCATGTTAAAAATCAAAAACAACGTGGCCACGACAGTCTTGAATACATAACATAGGCTTGAAATAAAGTAAAAAACAAAACAAAACAAAACAAAAAACATCGATCCACGTTATGTTACAAAGACGCCTCTGAGGCCCGAGTCAGCGACCCCAGAGACCCCTCGCCCGGACCGACTGCGCCCAGAGGGTCGTCCGCAGCCACAGGGTGCCTTCTCACACATCTTCGGCCCAAAGTTGTATAACAAATTTGACTCAACTCAAATTTCAAAGAAAATAAACGTCACTTTAACGTCTAACTGCTCATTCGCCAAAAACACCCAGAAGCGAGAAATCGGGAGTTTCCTCGCGGTGCGCTGCCCTGTGGGGATCCTCACTGCGTCCCCCGCTGCGGCAACTACGCCCTGAAGGAGGCAGGCGAGCCACTGTGTTCCTCCTGACATATCGCTCGCCTCTCTGTTCCCGCTTGCCCCACTTTCCCAGAGCCCGTGTCCCCCAGACTGAGTTCTGCTGGGGGCGGCCGCCGCGAGCAGGGCCGGGCCAGTGACGTGCCACCTTGCTGGGCACGGGCCGTGCGGCTGGCACGGGCGGCCACCTGCCGGGGGTCACTCGAGGTGCGCCGACAGACTGTGATGCCAGGCGGGGGATCTGGAGAGAGTTCTGCAAAGCTAAGTCAACCTCACATTGCCATGAGGTTTTTTTTCCCTCGGTTTGGTACCCAGCGAACGAATCTCAAAAATAAAAAAGAACACCCGTGTGTCGGTCTCTGTCTGAGTCCCGGGTCGCGCGACTCAGTAGCTGTACATCTGCTGCTGGGGCTCGGCCGGCGCCTGTGGCGGGGGGGGGCGCCTGCGGCGGGGGGGGCGCCTGCGGTGGGGGGGGCGGCAGGACGTCCGTCTGCGGCACCGCACGCCACGTGAGCGGGTGCTGGTCGCCGAGCTGGTTCCCCAGGGGTGTGATGGAGTTGACCAGCGTGGTCAGATTGATGAAGTGGGCCACGGACTGCGGGTTCGAGGCTTCGGGCTGGGGGTGGATCTGGATGTCGTTCTGGCGGTTGTGCAACATGGAGCCACTGACGGTGTCAAAGGTCACGGTCAGGATGGAGTTGTCCAGCTGCAGCTGGCGCTCTGGGGTGGTTAGGTGCCCAACGGCCACGGGCTGGAGACTGGTAAACTGAGTCCCAGCGGCGGTGGTGATAGGGGTCACGGTGATGTTGGTCAGGCCCACTGAGCTCGACGGAGTGGTCACATTTGGGTCACCCAGGGTCACTACCACCTGCAAGGGTCACACACAATGCAGGACCATTAACAGTCTGCAGAACGGCCAACGGCAGAGCCTTCCGCTGCAGGAACCCCATGCCTGGCCCCCCGCCTGGCCCGAAGGAAGAGAGGAAACGTCTTTTGGTGAAGGATTAAACCAAGTTAGTTTTGTCCCAGAAAAATGATTCTAGTGAAGCAGAGCAGTAAGATACAGACGGGACCATGGAGCCACTCACTGAAGCGAAAAACAAAAGATCTCACGGGCCAGGACAAAAACAGAGGAAAGTAACGACGAGAAAGGCAGAAGAAGGCGCGCTCTGCGTTTTCCGGTCGCTCCTCTCCCGCACCTTGTCGCTGGCGAACGAAAACCCCAGCGATCAAGCTACAAAGAGCAACCCCCACATCTGCGGCACCAGGACTGAGAAAATCCAGGAGAAGCAGCATCTTCTCCACGGAGAGGAACGAACGGCCAAATAAGTGCAAGAATGTCTGCGTTACGATTAGCGCCCAAAACCAAGTACGAGACACACGTCGGTGAGAGAATCGCGAGCCTCAAAACCAAAGAGAGCGAATCGGAGGCTTCCATTAAAAGCAGCAGACGGGCTGGCCACGTGCATCTCTGCTTCCGCCGACCCTCCAGGGACCTCGGGTGTGACCTCACCAGGGGCAGATGCAGCGGGCCCCACTCCCACGCTAAGGGGACACACGTGGGCCTCTTATAACCCCAGAAACCACCCGGTTCCCACGCGGGCGGGGGCGGCTGTCCCGCCCAGGCGCCACGGTCAAGCCGCGATTCACAGTGACAAGTGTGACCTCTAGATCTGAGCTGGGAAGTATGTCGCTGACGCTGGCTTATGGGAGAAGTGCCCCATGGAGCGCCCGCCACCGCGGGGCCCCGGCCAGCATCAGCGTATCCGCAGGGGTACGGGTGAGGTCCCCGCGCCCCCCAGCTGCTCCCCCCAATGTCCCGCCCCCGCAGGAAGGGGACCACCTGCTGGATGCTCTGCACCGCAGAGTCGGTTTCGTCCCCCACACCCGACAGCACGGGCTCCTTCTCCGAGTACTCGCTGAAGGCGGCCTCCTCCGGCCCCGGGGCTCCCGCCGCCTCCACCTCCGGCTTCTGCTTCCTCTTGTGGGCCCTCCTGGCGGCTTTCACGTGCTTCCCCTCGGCCAGATCTTCCTGCTTCAGACTCAGTTCAGGCTGCAGGAACACAAGTTTTGGCAACGTCCGGGTCACTGGGCTGTGTCCCCAGGGTGGCCACAGAGGTCCCAGCACGGTCCCCGGACACGGCCCTAGGAATCGGAGTGACCACAGCAAGTCTGCTCACATGTGCTTCCAGAGATGGGGCATGTTCCTGTTGGATTCACTTTCTTGAAAAAGTGAAGGAAATTACATATAAGTCATATTTTTAAAAGCCACATTTGTGCTGGAATGTGAACATCTCTAAAGACACAGTTTTGACGCCCATTTCAGCTCTCGTGAGCTCAGCCTGAGGCTGAAAATCCATTCATGCCTGTGCTCTTGTCCCCAGGCTGAAGCAAATTCATGAGAGAAAACGGCCTTGGATCAGAACGGGTGTGACTACAAGAACATTACATCATCTCCTTTGGGGACGACTACCGTGCCCAGCAACCCCAGCAACCCCAGACAGGTGCCCTGCACACTCCTCTGCCTGTCCAGGGCACACTGCTGCAGCGTGACCAAGTTTCCAGAACCAGGCCGATGCCACGCCTGGGCTGGGTGTCAGAGGCCATCCTGGTCACCAAGCACGCCTCTGGGCCGCTCGTGCCATCCCACACGGTGAGACCCCACCCAGCAGCAGACAGACCCAGAGGAAGCCTGCCAGGGCGAGGCCATCATGGGATTGCCCTCGTGGGGGCAGGACGTGAGCCGTGGGCGTCTGGGGCACTACAGAGAGGAGGGGAACAGGCCTTCTCGCGCTCACTCACTACAACCCAGCACCTGAGCACTATGCTCAAAGCACTGTTTCAAATACAGAGGTGTGACCGTGATTTTACAGTAATCGAGAGCATGGCATAGTCCCTTTACAATAAAACACCATTTTTACGAAGGCATTGGCTTAAAAGTTCTTTAAAAACTAAGTTCATCTAATAGTTATTTTAGTTACAACAATCTAGTTATGCTGGCCTTTTATGGAAATCACCTGTGATAGTTAATTTTACGTGTTAACATGGCTGGGCTCGGGTGCCCACGTGTTTGGCTGTCCAGCAAAGATGCTGTGAGGGTATTTTTTTACATGAGATTAACATTGTATCAGTGGATTCTAAGCAAAGCAGATCACCCTCCGTATTGTGGGTGGGCCTCATCCAATCAGTTGAAAGCCTTAATAAGCAAGCCTGAGGTCCCTGAAGAAGAGGGAATTCTGCTTCCAGCTCCGCACAACACGTGTCCAAGCCTCCCTGCCCCAGGCCATGGGCCTGCTCGGTGCGTACCTGGACGATGCCAATGGAGGAGGCATCGATGGTGGTGGTCTCTGGGAGGTGGTCCAGGTCATCAATCCGCACGGCCAGGACCTATGGGTGAGCACAGGTGATGAGCCCAGGATGCTGCGCCGGCAACTGACTCTTGTTATCTCTTACGGGCACCCCTGGGTTCCCAACCCAGCTCAGCTCAGGACCTGCGCTGCGATGCTCGCAAAGGACGCGGAGTGAAAGTGGCCAGGTGCCACTGATGTGATCTCACCCACTGTCGCCAGCACCTCACTTCCACCTGCATCGTCACCATGACAACCATAACCACCAGCACCACCTGCATCGTCACCATGACAACCATCAGCAACCCTACCAGCACAACCAGGATCATCAATGCCACCATAAACACAAGCAGCACCACCACCTCTATCCCTGCCCCCTCCCTGCCACACGCACACTCACAGCGCCAGGCCTCGTGAGCAACCGCGGCAGAGCCCGCCCAGGTATCCCTCCCCGCCCCCCACCGCCACCTTCTCAGCTGCCCGGGGTCACCTCTGTGACATGTGATGTGTTCCTTGTAACTACTCTCAGCTCTCATCTACCTCCTATTCTCCCCCGTCTCCCACCCCCGACTGTCAGGTCCGGGAGGGTGAGACGCGTCCTGTATGGCTGGCTCCCCAGGGCTCACCACCAGCGGCGGCTTCGTACGTGTGTGTCTGAACAACACAGAATGAAAGGAGGGTGAAAGGATCCAAAGGAACGGCCCCAGGAGAAGAGGCCGGAGCCTGGAGAAACAAGGGCGGAGAAGAGCCACGGCCGCGTATCCTCTGCCCTTCGTCTGCGAGCCCTCCCCTGCCAGCACGCCTGTTCTGCCCACTGCGGGCATGCTCAGGGGGGGCTCGTGGCGAACGCCGCCCCCACTTGAGCAGCAGGCACAGGAAGCTAACCTTGCAGAGTGATCAACCCGTTAGGGAGTGCTCTCCGACCCTGCTGACAGGACTCGCTGGACGGACGCGCTCGCTGAGCACCTCTGTGCTGGCCGAGGCCCCTCTCTGCACCCAGCCACGCGTATCACGCGTCCGGGCTGCAGGGACTGGCTTACACGCTCCTTGTGAATACCGGTAACTACCGAAACTCAAACAGCGACAGAGAACTCGCACAAACTGCAGACTCAGCACATGGGGGCCTGCAGCGCCTGCCCTGGGCCCTGAGCCCCGGTGTCGCGGCCGGCCGACAGAGTGGGAGGCCTGGCGGGCGGCTCGGCATGGGTAATTTCAACACCGGCCGCCACACGACGCCGTCTTCTGTTCCCTGCGCGACCACTTACTCCATAGCGGGGAGCGTCGCATATGCACGTACAACGTGCAGGACACGCTACCACGGCCACTCGCACGTGTGTCTCAAACCCCGAGCCCACTGCTCCTGCTGCAGGGAGGGGCCCAACACGGCCGTGCTGCCCCCAGGAGGACGTCAGTGACCAGCGCGCCGCCCCCAGCCAGCCAGCACCGTCAGTCTGATCCACCAGACGACAGATGGCATCCTCGGTTGGCACTCGCGTTTCCTGGCCTCGGCGAGGTTGAAGGCTTTTTTTGGGTTTTAACCTTGTATGTTTCCTCTGCACGTGTGTGCACGCTCGGTTCCTCGAGTCTCCTCCTCGAACGGCTGTCACCCTTCCTCCCAGCAGCTTAGATCGGCTGCCGACAGGAAGGCCAACACCTGCGTCCGGGCTTCCTCTGCTCACCCGCCGGGCCTACAGCGTCCTGAGTGGGGTACTTTCTGCCAGGCAGACTGAGGGATGCTTTTGTCCGTGACTTCTGCCCCCAAAGCGATCGGATAGCTACGGACCCGCGTGTTTTTCTACTTGTGTTTTTCACTTTGCCTCTCTTTAAAGTACGTGAATTATTTAGTGCCCCGGACCTTCCTCTGGAACACACGCCCAGGCGGGCAGGGTCAGCCTGCCTCTGGGCAACTGCTCCCCCCGGGGCTCAGACCAGCCTCGGCCCCCACGGCGCTGGGAGGCCCCCGTTCTGCGCCCCGGGTCAGCCACCCCAATGGGAAGGACGGAGGGAGGGGACCAGGATTGTGCTTCTGTCTTGCTGTAATTCCAGCGAGAACAACCTGTAACTTCAGCAAAAAATATGTTTGAAGCTCTTCATTCATTCATTCATTCATTCACTCACTCATTCATTTGCTCGGCGCCTCCCAGGGGCAGGGGGAATGTACGGCCCGGGCCCCACTTCTAGGAAGCCTGGGTCTGCAGAGGGGGGTCCACGAGCCAGTGCGTCGGGTCTCCGAGCGGCGGGGCAGGGGGCAGGGAGAGGCCGCGCGTGCCGCCCCAGGCTCACCTCCGGGTGCTTGCGTCGGATATGTCTGCTCATGGAGGCCCTGGTGGACACCTTGGTCCCGCACAGCTGACAGCTCTGCGCCTCCACCTTGTCGTGGGTGAGCTGCACGTGCTTCTGCAGCATGTACTCGGTGACGTACTTCTTGTCGCACACGGAGCACGTCCACTGCTTGCCCACTTCCCGCACGCATGGGGAGGAAGACACAAGCAGAGGTCACGGGCGGGGCCATCCCGCGGCCCACAGGACAGGCGAGCGGGAGCTTCGCCCTCGGGCCGCGCTGCGAGGGTCGTCTGCCCAGTCAGGCGGGGTGGAGACGAGCGGGCGAGATGAGCAGGACGGCGCCTCTCCCTCACAGAGGGTGACGCTGCTCCAGCATTTGAAAATTCGGGAGTGGACATTTGAAAGTCCTGGTGGGCTGATTTTTAAGGGGCACAGGGGCCACCCGTGGAGGCAGGGCAGACCAAATGCCCTGAAGAAGCCCGCACTGCGGAGCAGATGGACAGCTGTCCCACTCCTGCAAACGCGGGGCGCCGCGCCAGGGACTGCGGAGGGGGCCGAGCGCCTGGCCTGCCGCCCCGCTTACCTGTGTGGATGAGCTTGTGGGTCTCCATCGTGTTCCTCTCGCTGAAGGTCTTCCCGCACAGCTCACACATGAAATCTTTAATCCCTGCAGGAGAGGGTGCGCTAACCTCAGGGGCTCCCTCGGCCGAGGGTCTCCGTGTGTGCAGAAGCCACAGGGAAGGGAATGGCCAGGGGACCCCAGAGAGCAAGCGCTGGCTCCCACACTCAACCGGAGCATCGGGCGGCTTGGCGAGCGCCTCCCGCGGTGGGACTGGCGAGGCCACGGGCCCCGGGCCCTCTGTCCACTCCGCATGGGCAGAACCAATGTGGTCAGCCTTGCTCGGCACCTGCATTTCTGCAGCTGCCCAGAGCTCATCCGTCTCTCAGTCGGGGCGGGGGGGGGGGGGTCATCCCAGTCGCCCGTGGCCTGGCAAGCACGCATGGAGCACCCCTCTGTACAGACAAAAAGAGGACCCTCAGCATGCCTCATAAACAAGGGTTTCCCCAGAAATGGAAACGAGGAGTGACTTCAGAGGCCCACGGCGCTCGGTCCTGGGAGCGTGTGTGAAGCCCCATGTGCACGGGGCCCTGGGCTCACCGTGGCTCGTGGAGGGACAGGCAGGGACAGAGGTGACCACACCCCAGCAGCCTGTGTGGCTGTGGAGTGCGGAGTGGGACGGGAGGTGGCTCAGGACCCAGTCGTGGGAGTGAGGACGCTTCCCAGAAAAGGCGGCGTGAGTCTTGGAAGAGCTTCCCCAGGAAGACACCCGTGGTCAACCAGTGATGGGGTGCCGGCACGCGGAGGGGACGGGGGGGGCAGTGAGGGAGGTGGGCACGCAGGGAAGCTGGACCAGGTGGTGCAGCTCTCAAAACCCAGTTATGGGGGGGTGGGGACACAGGGAACCACAGGGAAGAAGTTTCACACGGACACAGCTGGTCAGCAGGGGTAACCTTCCCTCAGTTCCCGTGTCCCCTGGTTCTCACTCTCACACGCGTTTGTCCACACACGTGTCTTTTATGAGAAAAGAGCTCATAGTTGTTGCTAGAGGCTGTTTTTTCCCTGCTGCATCACAAACTTCTATGTAAGTTAACACACATCATCACTTTTAGCGGGTGCGCTGTTGTTTTCCGCGGACACACAGACACGTAAGACGTTCCAGCGTCTCCTGCCCCAGACAAAGCCGCGACGGACAGCCGGCCCTCGGGTGATCGGTTCGTGGGCACACACTCGGGCACGCGGCTGGGTGCAAGGCACAGACCCTGCAGACCTGGGGGAGCTCAGCAGATGCCTCGGCGGTGAGCCGAGCGGGGACCTGGGCTCCTGTGTGCGTGGGCGGCGGCGCGGGGACGGGTCTCGCAGGGAGGGGACCGTCTCTGACAGAGGCGGCTCCCGAGAGCCAAGCGACAGGAAGCGGGAAGCCACAGGCAGCTCTGTCCCCGCCCGTCTCCCGGCTTCCCGTGCCGCCGGCTCACCCGTGTGCCGCTTGAAGTGCTTGAGCATGTTGACCTTCTGCGCGAACTTGCGGTGGCACTCCTTGCACTCGTACTCCTTGATGCCCTTGTGTAGCTTCATGTGGTGACGCAGCGCGTGCTTGGTCTTCATGCCTGCCGACAATGCACGTGAGCCAGCCCGCCCGCCGCCCCGTGCCCCCGCCCCGCACAACCCCCCCGGTGCCCCGCCCCGCACACCCCCCCGGTGCCCCCGCCCCGCACAACCCCCCGGTGCCCCGCCCCGCACACCCCTCCGGTGCCCACGCCCCGCACACCTCCACTGTGCCCCCGCCCCGCACAACCCCCCGGTGCCCCCGCCCCGCAAACCCCCACGGTGCCCGCGTCCCAATACCCCCACGGTGCCCGCGCCCCAATATCCCCACGGTGCCCATGTGCCCCGCACACCCCCCCGGTGCCCGCGCCCCGCACAACCCCCCGGTGCCCCCGCCCCGCACACCCCCACGGTGCCCGCGCCCCGCACACCCCACGGTGCCTGTGCCCCGCACACCCCCCCGGTGCCCCGCCCCGCACACCCCCACGGTGCCTGCGCCCCGCACACCCCCCCGTGCCCACGCCCCGCACAACCCCCCGGTGCCCCTGCCCCGCACACCCCCACGGTGCCTGTGCCCTGCACACCCCCATGGTGCCCACAACCCAATACCCCACGGTGCCAGCACCCCACACAACTCCATGGTGTCTGCACCCCAATACTCCATCATACCCCTACCCCAATACGTCCTGCATCCAGGACCCTCCGATGTTCCTGCACCCCAATACCCCAATGGCGCCTGCACCCAGGACAGTCCACAGTGCTTGCACCCCAATACACCCACAATACCTGCATCCAGGAGCCCCCATGGTGCCTGGACCCAAGGACACCCACCGCAGTGCCTGCACCCTAACACCCCCGAAGTGCCCACGACCCAGACCTGCAACAGTGCCTGATCCCCTACCCTGGGCCAGGACACCCCCCCACAGTACCCACAGTGCCCCCATACCTAGATCACCCCCCCACAGTACCCACAGCCCCCCCACCCGGTGCCTCAACCCCCCACAGGGGCCGTGACCTGGACGCTCGGGCAGGGACAGGCCTTGGTGGGTGCAGAACAAGAGAACTGGGGGAGGTCAGGGCGTGGGGGTGAATCTCCTAGAGGGCCCCCTCCACCAGTGGCAAGATGGGCACTTATGCCCTCAGAGGACCTTAGGGGTTTACTGTCCATGTCTAGACAGCTCACCTTGTCAGGGGCCTGCCCAGACCTGAGGGTCAGTGCTTGGAACGACAGGGGCGGATGTGACCATTGTGACACACAGCCGAGTCATCTGCTGAGAGGGGGCCGCCTGCCTGAGCTGCTGGGGCTCCAGACGGCGGGCACACTGAGATGAGGAGTAAGTCCTCCGGATGCTGGGTGCTGCGTGGCGCAGGTGTGGACCTCCAATCTGCCTTTAAGGAAATGTACCTTTGCTAAAGGACGTGAAATAAACTACAACCTCACAAACTTGGGCCAGTGGAGAAGGGACGACCCTGGTATGGGGCGGGGGTCAGCGACAGGGGTCCCGGTATGGGATGGGGGTCAGCAGTGGCGGGGGGTCCCTGTACAGAGTGTGAGTCAGCGGCGGGGGTCCCGGTACAGGATGGGGGTCAGCGGAGCGGGAGGGGGGTCCCTGTACAGAGTGTGAGTCAGCGGCAGGGGTCCCGATACGGGCCGGGGGTCAGCGGCAGGGGGGGTCCCAGTACAGGATGCCCACTAGGTGGGCAGTGCTGCGTGGGAAGGGCTAACGGGGTTGCGGGGTGGGCAAGGGGCACTGCAGAGCAGGTGGGTGGTGGCTCACACACACAAAGCAGAATGGGTCCCATCCTGCAGGCCACAAACTGAACCAGCCAAGAGACAGTGGACGGCTAACTCAGAACCACACAGAAAGTGACCTCCTGCAGGGGCTCCGGAGCAGGGCAGACACAGACCACGGCTAGTACTGCCCTCGGTAACAGCAGCCAAAGAACTGTAGTGCTGAACAGAGTCCCCACCAGGTTACCTGGAAAACTCCCCATCCTGGTGAATGTGGAGGAGGGTCTCAGCCAGCTCTGGCCCCTACTAAACCCAGGCCTGGCCGAACTCAGGCCTGCAGGAACCCTGAGCCTGCATGAACCCCAGGGCTGCATGAACCCCAGACCCGGCTGAACCTGGCCTGCAGGAACCCTGGGCCTGGTTGAAACAGGCCTACTTGATCCCCAGGCCTGCATGAACCTGGGCCTGGCTCAACCCCAAGCACGCAAGAACCCAGACCTGGCTGAACTAAGCTTGCATGAAGCCCCAGGCCTGGCTGAACTAGGCCTGCATGAACCCCAGGGCTGCATGAAGCCCAGGCCTGGCTGAACTGGGCCTGCATGAACCCCAGGGCTGCATGAAGCCCAGGCCTGGCTGAACTGGGCCTGCATGAACCCTAGGCCTGCATAAACCCCAGGCCTGGCTGAACTAGGCCTGCATGAACCCCAGGGCTGCATGAACCCCAGGCCTGGCTGAACTAGGCCTGCATGAACCCCATGGCTGCATGAAATCCTGGGCCTGGCTATGCTGTGAGAAGCCATGAGAACAGCCCTGCCTGAGCCAGCAGAAGGAGCAGAAGTCTCTGAAGTGACTGGCCACCAGAAAAGGCTTCCAAGGCTACAGGATGGGAAGACACGGGTGGGCCCAGTGCTGACTTCAGAAGAGTGTTTTCCCCTTAAAAAATTATTTTTAACTTTTTGATCAAAAAAATCCCACACACTCAGTGAAAAAGCTACCGGTGATCAGAGGTCAGCCCTGAGGATGGCGCTCAGCAGCCCTGCCAGGTCACACGGGCACCCGGGGACACTGCTGAGCGCGTTCAGTCACGCAGAATGGCCCCTCCCCAGTGCAGTCCCCCCTGTCTGTGCTGCCATTTGATACTCGCCTCAACATCTGGCCCGGCTGGTACAAACCTACCACCAGGCTGCTCTCAGCACGAAGTACCACTCCTAGCTGGTATCTGTCCATTAACAGACACACCCCGCGCCAGTGCCTGCCATGGGACCAGTCTGCTCCAGGTGCCAGAGGCTGGGCTGTGCGCCAAGCTACACAGGGAGGGGGCCAAACAAAGGGCAAGCGCCACGTGGGAAGGGATGAAGAGAAGCAGGATAAAGCAGGGACAGGAATGGAAGGAATGGAAGTGGCCCAGAAGCTGGCTCATCCTGTGGGATGGAAGGGGGTCCCCTCAGAGGATGCATCTAAACAGTGATCCGGAAGGAGTGTGGGAGGGTCTGAGAGCTACTTGGGAAAACGGCATTCCTGGTGAAGGGAAGAGCCAGTGCAAGGGCCCTGAGGCCAACAGAAGGAGTCGCTCAGGGTTTCACGCTGTTCTCTGTCACAAACCGGGCTACATTATGTTTAAGCTGCAAATAGATCTTTGTACCAAAAATAAGCCACATTTCTAACTGCAGCTAACAGCGCCCAACAGCCCATCCCAACTGTACCAATGTACACTCTCACCCCAAGTCCACGAGTCTGCCTGCCTCCTTCCCTTCACCAGCACCGGCTGTCCCCAGGCTGAGCCGGACACAGTGGCATCTTGGCTCTGGCCCTGTTGGGACCATGGCAGAGGAGATGCGTGGAAGAGAACCAGTCCCTGTTGTCTTGTCCCACACCTGCACCCCTCTCCCACATGCATCTAAAATAAACGGATTCTATGTCACAAAATGACACATGGTCATAAAAAGAAAATGCACAGAAGGAAAGGCACAACAAAGTTCACCTCCCCATTCTGACCCCCCCATCGCAGCCCGTGTTGGTGACAAACCATGCTTCTCTTTCCATTTTAAAGAAAGATCTGAGAACAGCTTTAAAATACACAGGACTGCCACACAGTGGAAATTTTAAGCCTCTCTCTGCTGGGACTTGGATTCACTCTGCATCACATTTGCAATTTACTCTGGGCCAGCAACTGTTTTTAACGAGTAGAATTCCCAAGCCTGGACCGGGGCTGGCCCTCTTTATATCTTTAAATGCACGGTGGCTTTCCTCATGCAGTCCACACTGCCTCCCCAGGGCCTGTCCCAGGCACTTCACAGCGCGCCGAGTGATTCTGAACAAGGTATTTTCCTGGGTATCCTGCCCCATCCTGCTCCTCACCGAAACTGCTGCTGGGGCCGGGACTCACGTCACTCCGAACAGTTTCGCCCCTGAGTAAATCCCAGTCAGGCCTAGGATGTCTAGGAAAAAATGTGAAGTAACAGTACGCGAGGGTGTTTCCTGCAACACTGCTTGTAATGAAAAGACCACACACGAAAAAGCCCTCGATACAGAAGTAAAAGGGTCTGGTTACAGGACTCTGCAGGATAGAACCCTATCACGGTTTTGAGAGCTAAATTAAGGCAATTCTACCTATTCTGACATGAAAACTCTCTAAGATGAATTTCCAAGTACATAAAAAGCAAAATACGGGAAAATAAAAAACCCAGATAAACACAAGCATTTGCTTGTACGTGGTAATGACTGTAATCTGAAAGCAAAATGACCACACCAATAATTTAGTGTGTGTGAAATAACGTGTTAGCCCAAGTACTAACACGAGCATTTATGAGACAATTCAGAATTCATGGAAAAAATCACGAAGCTAAATATTAAACATACTTCTAATATGACCAGCTACATAACGTTGTAAGACGTGGTTCTGACATCAGTGTCCTCCCTGGGCAGCTGCCCCTGCCCTGCCAGGGAACCCAGGTATGGCTTCTGTCTGACCCCCCGGGGCGGGGGGGGGTACATCCCTACCAGGTCTACCTCTGACCCTGCCCATCTCTGTGCTGCTCAACACCATCCCCTCCCGCAAGTGGGGAAGGGGCTGGGAGAGCCAGGACATCACTAAGACAAGCACAGAAACCTCTAGAATGTTCCTACAGAATGGTGAGAGTGGTTCTTTTGAAGAGTGTAACAGGTCTGAGGCGGAAGCGACAACTTTACCTTGTGTGCCACCTTGCGTTACCATGAGAAAAAAAGATTTGTTTTTGGTTAGGCGCCTGCATTACTTTTCCAGTGAAGGAGTCCGCACGCTGTCTTTGCACAAAGAGACTTGGGGGACGGACAAGAAACCGTCACCTCTGGGGAGACAGATGGGGGTCGAGGGCGGGGGAGGGGAAAGGGTCACGTTTTGCTTTCCCTGTGGGTCACTCTTCCAGGCTTTTACATGTCATCTTATTTTACGCGTGCTAACGGGCTATCCAATGAGTGGCACGATGAGACACTGGTGTTCTCTTCACTTTGTGTTTAATTTAAAAAACCAAGTAAAGGAAAAAGAAAGACTTCATAAAAATATACAGTTTTAAAAAAGATCTAATGGCAAAGCCGACAGCCCTGATGTGCCCCGTGTCCGCACGGGGACGGTCCTGCTGCCCTGGTGACAGCCCGAGAAGCTCCGGGCTCCCCCTCTTCTACACAGTTTCGTTTTAACAGAAATGGGTTAAAAATTTACCACTGAGATGACTTTTTTTTTCCTCCTCATTTTACTTACGGGTGTGCGATATTTTAAGAGGTTTATTATTATTCAACTAATCTCACCTGCCTACCATGAAGGCCATGGTCATCACTGGTTACAATAAACCACCGTTTAACGCGTACCTGGTTCCAGTCCGCAGGCGGTAAGAGCCAGGCATTCTGCATATGTGTGCAGAACACACAGAGGTTCTTAGAATTACCTGGTGTTGCAGATAACCCTTGGCTGGGCTGCCTCCCCACTTTAAAAACGATTTATTTGTGCCTTGAACTCATCACGTCCTCTGCCTTGCGGACCACCCTATTTTCCCCCTAACCTCTCATTTAAACACTTGCCCTTGCATCTTGTTTCTCTGTGACACAAGTGAGTCAAGTCTGGGCTTCCCCCCCAGCGGCCTGGCAGGCGCTCCCCGGCTCCCATGTGTCCGCTGCGCCCGCAGGTGACAGCCCGTGCCCGTCTGGCCCTGTGCCCCTGCACCTTTCCCGCATCCGCACGGCCCCACGCCTGCCCAGCCCCGTGCCCACGTGCCCCCGTACCTTTCCCGCGCCCGCCCCATGCCCACCCAGCCCTGTGCCCCCATGCCTTTCCTGTGCCCACCCAGCCCTGTGCCCCCATGCCTTTCCCGTGCCCGTCCCGTGCCCGCCCCACGCCCACCCAGCCCTGTGCCCCCATACCTTTCCTGCGCCCACCCAGCCCTGTGCCCCCATGCCTTTCCCGTGCCCGTCCCGTGCCCGCCCCATGCCTACCCAGCCCTGTGCCCCCATGACTTTCCTGAGCCCACCCAGCCCTGTGCCCATCCAGCTTTGTGCCTGCAGGTGATAGCCCGTGCCCACCCAGCCCTGTGCCCAATGGGCCGCGCACGCCCATACCTTTCCCGCGCCCGCTCCACACCCACGCAGCCCCGTGCCCGCATACCTTTCCTGCGCCCGCCCCGCCCCGTGCCCACCTGGCCCTGTGCCCCTGCACCTTTCCCGTGCCTGCCTGGCCCCATGCCCGCCGGGCCGCACACCCCCATACCTTTCCTGCGTCCGCCGCACGCCCACCCAGCCCCGCGCCCCCGCACCTTTCCCGCACTCGGCACACAGGTACTCCCGGATGTTGTCGTGCACGCGCATGTGCTCCTTCAGCATATCCTTCCGGGCGAAGGACTTCCCACACTGCTCGCAGGCGTGGCTCTTCACACCTAAACAAGCACGTCAGAATGTCAGCCCGCAGGTCCACGTCCGCGGTCCCAGCACAAGAGCAGTGACGGAGAAGCGTGGCGGCAGGTACATGGCGCGCCCCCGGCCTCCACGGGAGCTTACCGCCGGCTCCTCGGCAGTGGGAAGGTCCCCAGGACCCGGGGCCACGGGGCAGGGGGCCGTGCTGGGGACGGACGCGGAGGCAAGGGCCCGAGGACGGGAGACGCCAGAGAAAGGCATGGAGGAGCGAGGGACTGCCGGAGCAGGGACACGGGGACACCCGGTCCCGTCCCGGTCCCCGAGGCGGGGCGCTACCTGTGTGGATGAGTTTGTGTCGCTCCAAGTTCCCGATGCTGTTGAAGATGCGGCCGCAGATCTCGCACGGGTGGATGTACCTGTGAGCGGACGGGAGCCTCAGGCGGGCCTGGCCACAACAGGGTACGCGCACCCCGAGCCTCTCCTCCTTAACGTGGAGGCAAGGGAGCGGCTAGGTGGACGCACGGGGGTTTTAACTTCCGATAGGGCTGAACCGTGCCCCTCAAAGTCCACAGGCCGCCGTCCTGACGCTCTGAGCGCATGTGCAAACAGGGTCTTTACAGAGGTCGTTAGGAGAGACACAAGGTCATCGGGTGGGTAGGGTAGTATGACGGGTGTCCTTGGGAGGAGGAGAAATTAGGACACGGACGTGCACAGATGGAAGACCATGTGAGGACACGGGGAAGGCAGCGTCTACCCGCCAAGGAGGGAGGCCCAGAACAGCTGCTCCCTCCGGAAGGAACCAGCCCCGCCAACCCCTCGACCTAGGGGCCCCGGCCTCCGGAACTGAGACAGTACACTTCATCGTCGGGGCTGCCCAGTGGCCCTGTGTCAGGCAGCCCGAGCCGCTACTCCAGCCTCTACTGGGGACGGCCCCCTCGCCGCTCTTGAACCCAGCACCGACTGCGGGCTACAGCAGACGCGGGGCTGGCATCCCTGGAGCCTAACTACGGCGGGAAAAGGGGCTTCTGGTGGTTTTGCGGCCAGACCGAGAATCACACTGCTCTTCTGTGATGCGGCCGACTTGTGCTGTGAGGCCAGGAGGGTGAGGGAGACAGGACCGACGACGGACAGGATGAACGAGGGGAGCATGCTTCCCTCTAGACCCGGCCGCGGGGCTCCCCGAGGAGACGGACTCACCCGTCAGAGCACCTGCCTCCCCACAGGGAACGCGCCCCCCGTGGCATCAGGCCCGACCCCGCAGCCCCCAGCCCCGGGAGGCCTCCTCACTTCTGCACGTTGGGGTCCGGCAGGTTCTCGCGGTGGATGACCATGTGCGCGTGGTAGGTGGCCTTCAGGGCGAAGCGCCGGTTGCAGATGCTACAGCCGTAGCCCTTCTCCTTGTGCACCTCCATGATGTGCTTCAGGTACTCCTTCCCCCGGCCGAAGGTGAGCTGCCAACGGGCACAGCGTTCACGCCCGGCACCCGGCCTCCCGTCGTCCAGCAGCACGGCCCCGCCGCGCACGGAGGCGCCCCGGCCCGACAGAAAGGGACGCCTCAAAAGCGCAGAGCGGGGGGTGCAGAGGCGGACGCCTGCGCCCTGCCCTCCAGACCAGCCCGCACCTGGGCCCCTCCCGCTCCCCACCCACCTGACCTCCGCCCTCTCACCCCCGCCCACCGGCCCTGATGGGCGCGCAGCTGCCAACACCCAAGCACAACACGAACCGCCCGGAGCGAGCTCCCTCGTCCCGAGCACTGAAGCCTCACGCGGGGACCAGCGCTCACCCGGCCGGCACGGCTCCCCCGGCCGGGTCGGGCCGAGGGGCCGCGTGCAGGCCAGCCCCCAGTCTGAGCCTGCGGTCGGGCGGAGAACCAGCCCCACCACCCCGCGGAGCCGCCCCAGGCCCGTCTGCGGGACGACAGCGGGGCGCGGGCGCGGGCGCGGGCGCGTACCTGGCACCGTTTGCAGCTGTACTTGTGAGGCTCCGAGTCGGCACTCGTGTCTGAGTGGTCGTCGTTCTCTTCCGAGGAGATGCCGATCTTGCCGATAAACTCCTCCCTCTGGTGGTCGTCCATCAGCGCGATGTCCTGCGGCACAGGGTGGCCGCGGCGTTGACGGCTTAGTCGCACCCCAGCAGCGACCACCCCACGCGGAGAAGGCAGACCGCATGCAAGTCCCACCCGGGTCCTGCTTGCTGCCTCCCCTGGGGATCCCCGGGCCCCTGCGTGCACCCACATCCCGGCGGGAAGCCCGCCAGGCTCCTGCCTGCATTCACACAGTTCTGCCCGGCCCGGGGCAGCCAAGCCGAGCAAGCCTCTGCCCTGCATCCCTGGGGTGCAGCCTGGCCTGGGGCTGCCTGGACTTGGGAACACTAGTGTCCCCGACCGTGATGGTGGCGTCTGCCCCCTGGGATGGGATTGGTCATCTCTAAGGCCTCTTTCCTTGTAGCCTGGCAAGGATCGCCCTAAAGTTCCGCTTACTTCTCTGAAAAAGACCACGAGAAACACTTCACTAGTCACGTCACGGGCTGGAGAAGCCCCAGGTGAGCCGCTGAGAGGGGGCCCTGCAGTGGGTCCGTGGCCAGGTGCGGAGCGGAGGAGGCCTTGCCTGTGGGGGACTTGGCTCCCCATCCTAGCTGCTCCCCCCGACAGCCGCAGCGGACCCGTGGCCCGCCGTCCTTGCCGCGGGCCACTTCCCAGCGGAGGCCGCCAGGATGGCGCACCACAGCTGGCCAAGCTTCCTTCTTAAACAAAACCTAGGACTCTGAGGAGGGTGGACAGGTGTCCTCTGGAAAGGTCACTATCCTGTCTCTCCCCTATCCCTCCTGGAGCAGAGGGGACGTTTTCACGAGGGCCTACTGTTCCGTTCCTTACTCAAAAAGGGCCAGCTACCCGAGGACCAGCACCTGACGGGCACCATGCCACCGCGGCGCTCTCAGCGGCCAGGCCCTTTGCCTCTGCTGAGTCTAATTTAATCCTCAGGAAACCGTCCTTCCATGGCAGGTCTCCGGGCCCCCATTTCCGTCGCTCCAGCAGCAGCGGGCTGAGGCCTAAGTCCCTCCAACCCCGGCTGAGGCTCCCGGCCGGATGCTCTTGGGCCCTTCTTCCCCCACCCCAGCTTTGTCCATGTGGCTCAGCCCCTGCACTGGGGGGCCTCCCACACTCCTGCCTCACCCCCCTGCCTTTGATTCCCACCTGCCCAGCGAAACTCCAACCCGCACCCGGGGCCGGAACTACTAGGGACAGACATTGTGCCGCGGGTGGGTGGACGGGCATCTCCAGGGCGCGTGCTCACCATCTTCATCTGGCCTTGGCATCACCTAGGATTTCCTCCTTTGCTCCCTGGATCGGCCCTTCTGCCCTTCTGCCCTTAACAATGACCCCGAATCCTCGCTGCCCACCCACCCCGCTCCCACCTCCTCACTATCCTCACCAGGAAGCACCCGGAATGGAAGAACTGTCATGTGAGCCCTGCAGCTGGGGCCTGAGATGCGGCAGAGGGTCACAAGAGCCCATCGGAAGAGGCGCAATGTGGCCAAGCGGACAAGTGTTTTAGGGTGCTGAGCGCGAGGGCCTGCCACGCCTCCACGTGAGCTCCCTGGGCAAGGGCGGCGCTGGGTGGCACCTTGAAGTGGACGTGGATGTGATCCCTGAGCACGTCCACACGGAAGAACTTGCGGCCGCAGATCTCGCAGGTGTACTTCTTGTCGCCATGGGTCAGGAGGTGCTTGTTCATGTTGCTTCTGCAGGAGAACACCTACGGGCAGAGGGGGGGGACCTGACAAACCGTAACCAGGCAGAGAAACACTGGATGCCTGCCTGGTGCCCACCTCGGGGCCAGAGTCACGAGCGAAATGTGAGCCAGCGATCATCTAAATATGAGCCTACGTTATCCCAGAGAAGCAGCTGTCCTCTCGTGTCCACTACCAGTGAGATCCGGCTCCATTTTATTTGCTCACTTAAATATTTCACTAGGACGGGGCGTTTCAAGAAGCCAGTATATCACAGAAATGGCTGCAATCTTCTGAGAGTCGGTACCAAAGGAGAGTGCCACCCTTGGTCTGGGCGCCGGGTTTCAGGCACAATTCACACCAACTCCCCCGTCTCCTGTTGCTGGTCTAGTGCGACGGGCGTGGAGGCTCATGTGTGGCCCCATACTTGTCTGCTGGAGCCGGGCTGGGATGCTGGGGCCCTGTGCCCTCTGGCATGGAGCTCTGGGGACGAGGCAGCAACAGAGACCACCTGCAGGGCCCCACTGATCTGACAGCGTCCGTCTGGATGGCCAGTCCCGAGGCCACATAACCCAGAGAGCAGGTCTCCTCCAGCCTGCCTGACCCCACGTGCTCCACGAGGAGAACACAAGAGATGAATGAAGGGAAAGGACTCACGAGGAATGGGAGGCTGGTGTTTTTATGGGACATCTCTCTTCCAGATTTTCAGGGGACTTGGGGCCAACCACCCTGTGACCACGGCTCTGGGGTGCTGGGTGGGAGGACGACTGGCCAGGTAGGGGAGGCAGGCCTCCCGGGGAGGGGCGGGGGCAGCAGGTTTCAGCCAACACCCCTCTTCTCAAGGCAGATCGGGTTAAAGACAAGAAGTCACCGGAAGCAGCCAAGAGCCCCAGAGCGCCCGTGGCCAGGGGCGGGTCAGCGCTGTCCCTCACCAAAGTGCAGGGGCCGGCTCTGATGGGACAAGGTGAAGGCCCGGGACTCCCCACCTCCTGGGCACACTGCACGCTGGTCCTCCACCACAAGGACACGTGTCAGGGACGCTATGGAGGAGACGGCGAGCACCGGGAGGGGCTCGGGGGGAAATCGCGGCAAAGGGAAAACCAGCAGTGGAGGAGAAAGCACTTCTCAGCTCGTTCACGGGAGACGCGTCTCAACAGCGCCGGAGGACAATGACAGGGGCGTGACACGAGTGGACACTGGCGCTCCCGATGACCCGAGCATCTGTTCGCTCCCTAAAAGACCCCTCCCTTGACGCTCCGTGGGGAGAGCTCTGAGCGTTACTGCAGGGCAGGGTGGGGCTCCCAGGTCGGATTCCAGAAAGGAGCGCGGCGCCTTACCTTGCCACACACGGGGCATCCTGAGGGCTCCTTCTTATAGCGGACCAGGTTCTCGCCGCCGGTGTCCAGGTCTTCTCTCTTGACCCGCCGCACTCCTGGAATGGGCGCCCCCCAAGCGAGAGAGTGAGTGCACCGGGGCAGGCGTGCGCCGGGCACCCGCCGCTCAGCCAGTCTGGCTGCCTGGGCGGCACCATGCGTGCGTGAGCAGCGCCCCCAGCACGGGACGCAGCTGCACGCGCCTCTGCTCCTACGGGCTCCAGGGAAAGAGCGGCCGTGCGTGCCCACGGGAACAGGACACAGTCCGTGCCTCTGAAGCCTGGAAAATACATGGGCAGCGGGGCTTGGGGGTTTTACGGCGTCGGAGAGCTGCACTGAGCTAACGCTGAAGAAGGGAGTTTCATTCAATCCACGGGCTCAAGGCAAAGGTAGGATTCTTGGGGATGACATTTTTTGTTAAAAAAGATACCAATACTCGTCCTTGTAAATTAAATCGGTCAATCAGGATCAGGGAGAAAAATCAAGTGACAATGAACTCCTTCCGGTTTTAAAACCTAACTGTTCATAACCGGAATCAAGTCGGATTTTTAGAAGTTTGCAGGAGACAGGGAATCTCTTTCAATAAAAGATAAATTCACTCTCAGTCCCTTTCCACACAGCTGACCTGTTCTGGAACATTCCCGCATCTCAGAGTGGATGCAGAGCCGGACTTAAGAACGCCCAGCCAACGGGACATGAAAATACATCCTTCTCCAAAGGCTCGCAGTGGCACAAGGCACACCAGAGCTGAAGCGGTCATGGAGACTGTGTGCCAACGTAAAGGGGAAAACCATGAGACACATCCGTTCGTTCCTGCAGAAAACGATCTGACTCGTGTGTCGGCTGTAAAACGTGGTGAAATCAAGTTGTCAAACGCAGCCCAGGTGCCTGCCTGTCAGGAGATACTGATTCTGGCAGGACCGTCGGCAGCTGGTACATGGGGCTTGGGGCTCTACCAGCAGGGGATGGCTCGGCCATCCACCAGCCTGGGGGGAGACTGAGGCACAGTGGCTTGCCCAGGGCCATCCGGGCACCAGGTGTAGCTGGAGAGGCCCGAGTGCACCACCCGGTGGGTCACAGAGAAAAAAAGTGGTGGATTTTCTGAAGCCACATGAACAGCAGCTGGGCAGAGAAGTGGGGTGCAAAACTCATACAGGATAGGACTCGTCTTATTTGGAAAAGGCTGATGATGTGTGTACACGCACATGTGGGTGCCTCAGTTACACTTCACATGCAACTCTGCTTTCTTTTTCAACAAGCTTGTGCTTCATCTGTAATTCTTTTCAAATGATTCTTTTCAAACTTTTATAAAAAAAGGTGCTCTGGTCAGTAAGTGCCACCTACTGAGGGCTGGTCAGCAAGGGAGAAGTGGCTTTTAGGGGAATAATCAGGATGATCACAACGAAAAGGCCCGTTTAAAGAGGGTCTGTTTGAGCTGCTCCTTTAAGAAAGTCCAGGCGGGGGCGCTGAGCACACACAAGAGGCCCAGGTGCCTTCCCACTGGGGACTCCTGGTGGCCCTGCACGGCCACGCCCCCATTTCCATCCTGCTCCAGCCCCTCATGGTGCTGCACCCTCATCCCAGCCCGCTGCTAAGCCCACTGACCCCCGTCTTCCTCCCACGTGGACAGGAAGCTCCCCGGCACCCCTGCTGCGGACGACATGGGCCATCTGGGCCCGCAGACAGCGTGAGGACTGAGGGAGGAATTACTTATGGCCCCGCCCACAGCGTCTGCCCAGAACATTCTGCTGCTTGCAGGAGGCTGAGAGTATACCCCAAACCCAATTTCATAGGCTGTTCCTTCCCCTACTTTCTGTCGTATCAAAAGCATTTTCTCAAGATAGTAAAAGACTCAGGAAAACGCTTTTAAGGGCTGGATAGCCTTCAATGCCATAAAGAGTCCGGTTTTCTTAACTCTTCCCCACCGTGGAACATTCGGGATGTTTGCAGGTGTTCCCGCTAAGACACTGTTCAGCCCCGCCGGTACCTCTCTGCGCCCGAGTCGAACCCCATCGGACGGGGCGTCCCCGGACCGCATCCCGAGAGGCCGCGCCACCGGCTGCGCCGGCCCCCGGCCCCCGGCCCCGCTGACCCGCTCCGGGAGCTCGCACCCAGGGGGCCGCGCTCACCTTCCAGGTGCCTCCTCTGGTGGTCGAGCATGACGTCCTTGCGGTAGAACATTTTGTTGCAGACCTCGCAAGCGAACTTCTTGTCCCCGTGCTTCTTCTTGTGCTTGGAAAGGTTACTGTTGGTGGAGAAGAATCTGAAACACATCTCACATTGGAACGTCTTGTCATCTGTCCGGAGAGCAAGCAGACACACAGCGGCTTTTAGGTAAACGGCACTGAAGACGCGATCGGCATCCTGGCCGTGGGGGCGGCGGCGAGGCCCGGGGGGGCGGCGAGGCCGAGCTGCGGCGCGGGCAGGGGGCCCACACGCCCGGGAGACGGGCGCGCCGGGCCGAGCCAGCTGGTCCTCGCGGGGGAGGCAAGCGCCGCTCCCCTGCCTCACCCCTGCCTCAACTGCCACCGGTCTGGGCCCTCACCCTGCACCCAACCGGACTGCAGCCCCGACCCCTGGTCTCAGAGGAAGCTGTGTCCTCCCCCCGCTGCCCCGGGCTCCGTCCCCACCTGCCACCGGTCCCGGCCCACACGCAGATGCCCAGGTTCGCGCACCGTTCGCAGAGCTGTCTTCTTCCAGGTCCCTCGGTAACACACACGTACCCCGCACTCACACCCCACACTCTCGCACACACACCCCCACACACACCCCACACTCACACCCCACACACTCTCGCACACACACCCCACACTCACACCCACCCCACACTCCCCCCCTTGCACACACACCCCACACTCACACCCACCCCACACTCCCACACTCCCACCCCCCACACACCACATACCCCACACTCTGACAAATACCCCCCCACACCCCACACTCACACCCCACACACTCTCGCACACACACCCCACACTCACGCCCACCCCACACTCCCCCCCTTGCACACACACCCCACACTCACACCCACCCCACACTCCCACACTCCCACCCCGCACACACCACATACCCCACACTCTGACAAATACCCCCCCACACCCCACACACCACACACACTCTCGCACACACACCCCACACTCACACCCACCCCACACTCCCCCCCTTGCACACACACCCCACACTCACACCCACCCCACACTCCCGCACACACACCCCCCACTCACACCCCACACTCTCACACACACCCCACACTCTCCCCCACTCACACACACCCCACACTCACACCCACCCCCACACTCCCGCACACACACCCCCCACACACCACATACCCCACACTCTGACAAATACCCCCCCACACCCCACACTCACACCCCACACACTCTCGCACACACACCCCACACTCACACACCCCACACTCCCCCCCTTGCACACACACCCCACACTCTGACAAATACCCCCCACACCCCACCCTCACACCCCACACACTCTCGCACACACACCCCACACTCACACACCCCACACTCCCGCACACACACCCCCCACTCACACCCCCACTCACACACACCCCACACTCTCACATCCCACACTCCCCCCACTCACACACACCCCACACTCACACCCACCCCACACTCCCACACTCACACCCCCCACACACCACATACCCCACACTCTGACAAATACCCCCCCACACCCCACACTCACACCCCACACACTCTCGCACACACACCCCACACTCACGCCCACCCCACACTCCCCCCCTTGCACACACACCCCACACTCACACCCACCCCACACTCCCACACTCCCACCCCGCACACACCACATACCCCACACTCTGACAAATACCCCCCCACACCCCACACACCACACACACTCTCGCACACACACCCCACACTCACACCCACCCCACACTCCCCCCCTTGCACACACACCCCACACTCACACCCACCCCACACTCCCGCACACACACCCCCCACTCACACCCCACACTCTCACACACACCCCACACTCTCCCCCACTCACACACACCCCACACTCACACCCACCCCCACACTCCCGCACACACACCCCCCACACACCACATACCCCACACTCTGACAAATACCCCCCCACACCCCACACTCACACCCCACACACTCTCGCACACACACCCCACACTCACACACCCCACACTCCCCCCCTTGCACACACACCCCACACTCTGACAAATACCCCCCACACCCCACCCTCACACCCCACACACTCTCGCACACACACCCCACACTCACACACCCCACACTCCCGCACACACACCCCCCACTCACACCCCCACTCACACACACCCCACACTCTCACATCCCACACTCCCCCCACTCACACACACCCCACACTCACACCCACCCCACACTCCCACACTCACACCCCCCACACACCACATACCCCACACTCTGACAAATACCCCCCCACACTCACACCCCACACTCTCGCACACACACCCCACACTCACACACCCCACACTCCCCCCCTTGCACACACACCCCACACTCTCACACACACCCCACACTCTCACACCCCACACTCCCCCCCTTGCACACACACCCCACACTCTCACACACACCCCACACTCTCACACCCCACACTCCCCCCCTTGCACACACACCCCACACTCACACCCACCCCACACTCCCACACTCCCACCCCCCACACACCACATACCCCACTCTGACAAATACCCCCCCACACCCCACACTCACACCCCACACACTCTCGCACACACACCCCACACTCACACCCACCCCACACTCCCCCCTTGCACACACACCCCACACTCATACCCACCCCACACTCCCGCACACACACCCCCCACACTCCCCCCCACTCTCGCACACACACCCCACACTCCCCCCCCACTCTTGCACACACACCCCACACTCACACACACCCCCCACTCCCGCACACACCCCCACACCCCACACTCACACACCCCCACTCCCCCCCACTCTCGCACACACCCCCACACCCCCCACTCACACCCCACACTCCCCCCCCACACTCTCACACACACACCCCACACTCTCACACCCCACACTCCACCCCACTCACACCCCACACTCACACCCACCCCACACTCCCACACTCACCCCCCCACACACCACATACCCCACATTCTGACAAATACCCCCCCACACCCCACACACCCCACACACTCTCGCACACACACCCCACACTCACACACCCCACACTCCCCCCCTTGCACACACACCCCACACTCCCGCACACACCCCACACTCTCACACCCCACACTCCCCCCCACTCACACACACCCCCCACTCACACCCACCCCACACTCACACCCCCCACACACCACATACCCCACACTCTGACAAATACCCCCCACACCCCACACTCACACCCCACACACTCTTGCACACACACCCCACACTCACACACCCCACACTCCCCCTCTTGCACACACACCCCACACTCCCGCACACACACCCCCCACTCACACCCCACACTCACACACACCCCACACTCTCACACCCCACACTCACACCCCACACTCCCCCCACTCACACCCACCCCACACTCCCACACTCACACCCCCCACACACCACATACCCCACACTCTGACAAATACCCCCCCACACCCCACACACTCTCGCACTCACACACCCCACACTAGCCCCCCACTCTCGCACACACCCCACACTCACACCCACCCCACACTCCCGCACACACACACCCCACACCCCACACTCCCCCCCCTCTCGCACACACACCCCACACTCCCCCCCACTCTTGCACACACACCCCACACTCACACCCACCCCACACTCCCGCACACACCCCCACACTCACACACCCCCACTCCCCCCACTCTCGCACACACCCCCACACCCCCCACTCACACCCCACACTCCCCCCCACACTCTCACACACACACCCCACACTCTCACACCCCACTCCCCCCCACTCACACACACCCCACACTCACACCCACCCCACACTCCCACACTCACACCCCCCACACTCACACCCCCCACACACCACATACCCCACACTCTGACAAATACCCCCCCACACCCCACACTCTCACACCCCACACTCCCCCCCCACACTCTCACACACACACCCCACACTCACACCCACCCCACACTCCCGCACACACCCCCACACCCCACACTCACACACCCCCACTCCCCCCCACTCTCGCACACACCCCCACACCCCCCACTCACACCCCACACTGCCCCCCACACTCTCACACACACACCCCACACTCTCACACCCCACACTCCCCCCCACTCACACACACCCCACACTCACACCCACCCCACACTCTCACACTCACACCCCCCACACACCATATACCCCACACTCTGACAAATACCCCCCCACACCCCACACTCACACCCACCCCACACTCACACCCACCCCACACTCCCGCACACACCCCCACTCCCCCCCACTCTCGCACACACCCCCACTCACACACCCCACACTCCCCCCACTCTCGCACACACCCCCCACACTCACACCCCCCACACTCCCCCCCACTCGCACACACACCCCACACTCTCACACCCCACACTCTCCCCCCACACTCTCACACACACCCCCACACTCCCCCCCTTTTGCACACACACCCCACACTCACACCCACCCCACACTCACACCCACCCACACTCCCGCACACACCCCCCACCACTCACACCCCCCCACTCCGCCCCACTCTCGCACACACCCCCCACTCACACACCCCACACTCCCCCCCACTCTTGCACACACACCCCATACTCACACCCCACACTCTCCCCCCACACTCTCACACACACCCCCACACTCCCCTTTGCACACACACCCCACACTCACACCCACCCCACACTCACACCCCACACTCCCGCACACACCCCCCCACACACCCCACTCACACATACACCCCCACACCCCCCACACTCTCACACCCCACACTCCCCTCCCACTCTCACACACCCCCCCACACTCCCTCCCTTTTGCACACACACCCCACACTCACACCCACCCCACACTCACACCCCACAGTCCCCCACACACACCCCACACACACACCCCACTCTCACACACACCCCCCACACCCCCCACACTCTCACACCCCACACTCCCCCCCACTCTCACACACACCCCACACTCCCCCCTTTTGCACACACAACCCACACTCACACCCACCCCACACTCACACCCCACACTCCCGCACACACCCCACACTCACACACACCCCACACTCCCCCACTCTCGCACACACCCCACACACACCCCACACTCCCCCCCACTCTCGCACACACACCCCACTCTCACACCCCACACTCCCCCCACTCTCGCACACACACCCCACACTCTCACACACACCCCACACTCCCCCACTCTCGCACACACCCCCCACACTCCCCCACCACACTCCCGCACACCCCCCCCCACTCACCCCCCCCCCACTCCCACCCATCCCAGGCTGCACTAACGCGCACAGGTGAGCCTCCCTCCCGGGCAGGTGGCCCGCATCCTGGGGCCTAGGAGCGGTGGCAGGCGCAGTGCCGTCCTTGGGCTCCAGCCTTCTCGGTCACGAGTGCCAGTGGTGCAGACAGAGAACCCACTTCCCGCTGCTCCCGAGTCTCCGCTGTCCAGGACCAGTCTGCCCCAGCACAGGTGGCCTTCCCTGACGCCGCACATGCCCGTCACCAGCTCAGGAAGCCAGACAGGCGCCTGGTCCCAACGGTAACCTGCCACCAACAATCCTCCTGCCCTCAAAGCCTACATTTACGTTTCCATAAAATGCAGCAACTAAGAGCAAACGCCTGTTACTCGGGACCCAGGGGAGGTGCAGGGACACCGGGAGAGGGGGTGGTGGGCGTCTGGGGGAGCCGGGCTGCACGGGAGGCTGACGGACCATGCTTTGCTCGAGGGCTTGGGCATGAGCCGGTGCTCGTCTCTGGCTCTGCCTGGATGGCCAAGGACACCACGAGCACCTCTTAGATGAGCTACCGGGACAGGTCCCGCTGAGCAAACGCTTGAGCAGAACCCATCAGTCTATGCATCTCAAAAAGCTTCTCCCTGCGTCGCAGAAATCTTGGTTTAAAGCTCTACGGAAGACACATTCCCTTAACGTGAATGCTGTGGAAAAGTATAAGAAGATGCAAATGATATATTACACAAAAGACCTCAGTTTCCGGGTTTATTGTTTGTTTTCCATCTGAAACTTCTAACCTTGGAAATTAATTCACTGCGGCTGTGTTATTTCTATGTGATGAAAAGAAATACACGCCTGGTTTAACAGGACCATAAGCTGATGGGCACGAGAAGCTGCTCTGACTTCTTTTATTACTTTCTGCTTCACTTGTGTCCAGAGAAGCTGAGATAAAAGAGGACTCGCGGAGTCTAGCACCCCCAGCAGCCGAGGGCCCGGGCACGGCACGGCACGGCACGGGCAGTCCTGCAGAACCGCAGGCGGCCACCCGGGGCGCCGTCCCGACTCCGGCCACACACAGCCAGCACGGCAGACAGACCCTGCACCAGTGGAAACGGCGGGGGATCTCCCCCAGATTTGAGGGGGCTCTTGGGGTGCAGAGCCCGGAGTGTAGGGGTGCAGCACCCCACACACCTGCCGGTTCACCTGGAAGCTTCCGAGGCCACCACTTCATGCCATAGCCACGGATGCTGCGGAGCAGGGAGCTCAGGAGAAACGAGACTCGCCTGCCACATGGAGCAGCCCCGCGATGGGACCAAGGCACCATGAGAAGACAAGCCGTGCAGCAAACAGGAGCCGCCAGGCCCGAACACACAGGGGCAGCCAGCGGATGCCGGGGAGGAGATGCTAGCCACCGTGGGGACGGGCAGCGGAGGCTTAGCAAATGCTGGTTAAGGGGCCTCTGAGAGGCGGGGGGCAAGAACCAACACAACCACGGCTCAACAGGACAGGAGTTCGGAACCAAGGGCCAACCTGGTAGGTCTCCAAGCCCATGGCCACTGGGCCCGGCCTCTCTGGGCGTGCTAGGATTCCCCGACCCTCCCCCACCCACCACGGCACCTGCTCCCTGCTGGGGGGAGCGGGACCTCAGCTGGACGGGGCCTGACACGCTCGCCCGGGCCCACGGAGGCCCCGTCGGCCACAGGCCTGTGCAAGCACACGAGTGAGCGAGGTTCCATCTGGCGGACAGAGCAAAACTGGTCTACGCAGGGCGGACAGTGAAGGGGGCCCTTCCATCAGTGAGGCGGAGCGCTCCTCCTAAACCGTCACCCCCTCCTGCAGGTGCTTCTCCCGTGGTCCTAGAGCACTCCCACACCCCTGCTCACCCCCCGCTTCACGACAGCCTCGGATGGGGGGGCACGGCTTCCCTGGAAGACTAAGAGGACGGCAGAAGGTACGTTCCCCTTCACACGGGAAGTTTCCACCCGTGTCTCCTTCAGGATAAGGAACAGCTGCTCAGAAGCTAGTCGAATAGAGGGAGATGACAGACGTGAGCTGGTGTGTCCTAGCGTGCCACGGTGTCCACGTGGCCGCAGGAGAACCCGCGTGGCGCGGTGTCTGCTCACCTGTCCTGCAGTTGTGGAATTCCAGGGCGCTCTCGATGCGGAAGGTCTTCTCACAAGTGCCACATCGGTACCTATACTCGCCGTCCACCTGGCAACGGGGGCACCGTTAGCGTGGGAGGGGCAGGGGCGCTCCACCTCAGCACGCCTCCCCTGACCAGAGCTCTGGCATCTTCCAAGAGCGTACGGTCTACACCGCTGTCTGCTTCTCTCCCACGCGGTTTGGAACACGAGGCCATTTTCACTCTCGCCATCCAGGTGCCCCGGAAGAATGCCCCATTCAGAGACCGCAGGGCAAACGCCAGCCCAGGGGACCCTGCAGCCTCCTCCGCAGCCCGTCGCCAGCCCCCGCACCCACGGCCTCCCCTCCTCCTCCTCCCTCGCGACTGCACCTTCCCTCCTGGCAGCCTGGCCTGCCGCCTGCCCGCTCCGCCCACACACCAGCCCCACGCCAGCCCGCGGAGCCGAAGCCGGGTCCCACCCACCTCGTTCCTGCTGTGCTTGTAGGAGACATGCTGCTTCAGACTCTCCTTGCGGCTGAACAACTTGGCACATTCCTCACATTTAAATAGCTTGTCGCCTACGAGCCAACCAATAAGCAGCCGGTCCATGACTCCGGGCGTGGACCGGGGCTGCACACGCCGCCTCTGGAGCGGGTCCATGGCCAGTGTGTTTGCGAGGCCCTCAGCAACCTCTCCCCCACGCCCCCGGGGCAACCTCCCCCTGCAGGACCGCCGGAGGGGGGCCCCGGCCAACGGTGCTCCCCGGCCCCGTCCCCGTGGCGGATGGCCGTGCAGGGACTCACCGTGCGAGCGCACATGCCTGCTCAGGTTGCTGCTGTTCTGGAAGATCTTGCTGCAGATACCGCACTGATAGACCCGTCTGTGCTCCCCCAGCTGTCTGACAAGCTTCCTCCGGACGCCGTGCCGGCTCGACAGAATTAGGCTCCTCTTGAGGGCGATGGTGGTGCTCTGATGATGCGGGAACCTGCCAGGTCAGACAGAACAGTGAGACGGGGCGGGGGCGGGGCAGACCGCAGCACTGGAGAAAAAGTCCGAGGTCACAATCATCTTGGAAAGAGCTCCTTCCAAACCTTCCTAGCACCATGCGAGACAGGAGGGAAGGCACTCGGCCTCGCCCCCGCCTCCGGGGCATCTGGACGGCACAGACACCATGAATGTACAATGGCACCGTGTTTTCTGTGTGGCCACACGGCTGACTGCATCTTCACTCTGGCCGCCAGGAAGCTCGCGACTCAGTCTGTGCAGAGAATAACCCTGGCTGTGTGGTTTTTCTCACGTGGCCTGGCCTCTACTCTGCTTTATACTTTCTCTGACCCTGATTTTGAAATTTCTTCTCCCTATGAAAGGTATTTCCGATGATAAGCCGCAGAAATCCTCTGGGCAAGAAGACAGGGTAGACAGAGAACCAAGTGACCCTGTTTTTGATGACACGTTGGTCCTCGCTGTCAGTATCTGCATGGGTTCCAGGAACAACAGGACCAGGCACATTGTGAGAAATGTAAGAGGCACTCCAAAAAAGGCCCCCCAAAATTACCACCAGCTTATTCAGCGTCAGAGCAAAGACGTAACCAAAAATGAACACTGAAATACAAAATATTTTCCGTGTTCGCAAAAAAGAAAAGAAAAACACAGAGCAAGGTGTTAAAGTCACAGAAATTCAAATACAACACTGTTTTATAATAGCAGCATTGCTCATAATAGCCAACAGATGGAAGCAGCCCAAGGTTCCACTGATGTAGGAATGGATAATAAAATAGGGTCTATGTATATCCATATGATGGAACAATGTCTGGCCTTCACACGGCGGGGTGGGGGGGTCAATCTGACAGCTGAGTGACACAGCCGGTCACAAAAGGACAAACACCGTGCGGCTGCCCTCGTACGAGGACCCTAGAGACACAGCGACTGCCTACCAGGTACCTCCATCTTCACAGAGACAGAGGTAGGAGGGGGGTGTCGGAGAAGTTAGCATTTAAGGAGAACAGAGTTTCAGTTTGGGAAGGTGAAAATGCTCTGCAGATGGACTGGGGTGAAGGTCGCACAGCAACATGCAAGGACTTAATGCCGCAGGACTGGGCACTTAAAAGTGGTTAAGATGGGGAGCCTGGGTGGCTCAGTTGGTTAAGCGACTGCCTTCGGCTCGGGTCATGATCCTGGAGTCCCTGGATCGAGTCCCGCATCGGGCTCCCTGCTCGGCAGGGAGTCTGCTTCTCCCTCTGACCATCCCCCCTCTCATGTGCTCTCTCTCATTCTCTCTCTCTCAAATAAATAAATACAATCTTTAAAAAAAAAAAAAAGTGGTTAAGATGGTAAATTTTAGGTGATGTAGGTTTCACTAAAATAAAAAAAAAATTTGTTTTTAACCATTTTCACAGGCAATGTACGACTGGTCCTGAGTTCCGGAACGGTCCCGCTGCTCCCCAAGCTCACCCATGTCCCCGCACCCGGAGTGAGCCAGCCTCCCTGCTGGAGGCGCCTTCGTGCCCGGATGGCATGCCGACCACACCAGCGCCCCGAGGGCCGTGACAGGGACTCACTTTGGTACTGAGCTGGCGTCACCAGTGCTGGTGGCCAGCTTCCCCAGAACCAGCTCCATGATGCGCTCGTCCGGCGCTGCGGCCACGGGCTCGTCCGGCGGGACCTCGGTAATGATCTCTGCCACTGGCTCTGTGTGAAGGGGACGGGACGGGCCATGTCAGCGCCATCGCCAGGGCAGGGGACAGATCACAACCCACCCAGGAGGACACGCCCGAGAGGACCAGGACAAAGTCGTAGGCACGGATCGCAAGATACACACGGGAAGAAAGAAGAAAGAAAAACTAGCGATATTTTGGAATCCACGCATTCACCTGTTTAGAAAAGCAAAAAGTTATTCCTAACTCCAGGCTGAAATTATAATTTGTGATTCTTTTCTAAAACCACAGCAGTTAAAACACTATTTCAGTCCCTTTTCCTACCAACTAAAATCGAAACATTCTGATACACAGTGGGACCTTTTCACTTATTAAATTAGTCCTGACAGAGATTTACAAATATTAACTTTTAAAATCAGACAAGTCATTGTGAGTATGTTCAAAAGCAGATAATCATTTTGTACGAGAGTCAGATAGCAAATAATTGCAGTAACAGGTGTCCTGGCCTGAACCCCTGGACAAGTGAAATATGGGACAATAACACCAAAATTTTAGCCCCTGGTTTCTACCACTTCATCTGCTCTATGTTGTCATATGCAACTAATAATTAGGGAAATAAGCACTTAATAAGCTTTCGGCGCCCCTCACATCTTCTCTACCTGTGTAGAGAGAAGTAGGGGCGCTGCTCAGGGGAGGGGAGGTTTAAATCACTTGTCTATCAATTCTGAGCAGAACACGAACTTGCAGCTGGCTTGCAGAAGCCAGAAAGGCCCAGACTATCCCAGAGTATTACATGAATGCTGCTCCTCTGAATACTTTTTCAACTCTGGGAAAGAATACACATTTCTGGGCGCCTGGGTGGCTCAGTCGTGAAGCGTCTGCCTTCGGCTCAGGTCATGATCCCAGGTTCCTGGGATCGAGCCCCACATCGGGCTCCCTGCTCCGCGGGAAGCCTGCTTCTCCCTCTCCCACTCCCCCGCTTGTGTTCCTGCTCTCGCTATCTCTCTCTCTCTCTCTCTGTCAAATAAATAAATAAAATCTTTAAAAAAAAAAAAAAAGAATACACATTTCTTCTCACTCTCAGAAAAGGAAACAAGGGCTCTACCAGACAGCCAAGCGCCCAGTGGCAGGTACGAAGACAGCGAGGGGACCCAGGCCTCAGCGTCCCATCTGGTCCCGATATGTGAGACCCCCCGGGAGTCTGCTGGTACCAGGCGCTGCCGGCAGAGGTCATAGGAGGACCGAGGGGCCATGGGCCCTGCACACCCAAGAAAGCGGGTCAGAGTCCCTCCAAACTCAACTGAGGAAACCATCACAGAAAATGGGCCTGGCCGCGGCCTGGAAGCAAGCTACAAGCCCGTGCACAGGTGCTGTGTGAGCGGACCGTAGGCATTCACATGGGGAACAACGCCGCTTGGCAGCCAAGGACAAGGAGCAGCCAAAAACCCAGCGTGGGAGAATCTCGCTCCATGTGCCACGAGCAAGACGCTGGGCACGGCAAGAGGGATGCACGTGAAACCCCAGGAGGGGCAAGACTGATTCATGCAAAGCCAAGGAGGAAAGTCTGGGGAGATGGCCATGTTCTCCGTCCTGACAGGGTGTGGTGACCCAGGTGGAACCCTGGTCAGTATTCACAACCTGCACGCTTTGCAGCGCCCGCTGTGTTACACGGGAACTGTGCTATGAAGAGCTGAGTCAGGGCGAAAGGGAAGGCTAGGTCCCACCTCCACCTATTCTCTCTACACTGATTTTTCCCAGGACCACCCTCACCTGCTGGCTCCTCCCCCAGGACCAGCCCCCACCTGCTGGCTCCTCCCCCAGGACCAGCCCCCACCTGCTGGCTCCTCCCCCAGGACCACCCTCACCTGCTGGCCCCTCCCCCAGGACCAGCCCCCCTGCTGGCCCCTCCCCCAGGACCAGTCCCCCTGCTGGCTCCTCCCCTAGGACCAGCCCCCACCTGCTGGCTCCTCCCCCAGGACCAGCCCCCACCTGCTGACTCCTCCCCCAGGACCAGCCCCCTGCTGGCTCCTCCCCCAGGGCCAGCTCCCACCTGCTGGCTCCTCCCCCAGGACCAGCTCCCACCTGCTGGCTCCTCCCCCAGGACCACCCTCACCTACTGGCCCCTCCCCCAGGACAGGCCCCCTGCTGTCTCCTCCCACAGGACCACCCTCACCTGCTGGCCCCTCCCCCAGGGCCAGCCCCCCTGCTGGCTCCTCCCCCAGGACCAGACCTCACCTGCTGGCTCCTTGCCTTCTATGATGTCTAGTGGCTGCTCAGGTTTTGATGCTTTGGGTTTTCTCCCCCTTCGAGGCTTTTTCTTCTGCTCTTTGGTGGCACTGACACTCTTGGGAACTGCAGGAGGCTCCCCCCGAGGCACATCTGGTTCCTTCTCAGGAGCTGCTTCATGCTGGCTGGCTGGGGGAAGGCTTTTGGCTTGTTCCAAGTGACCCAACAGATGCTCTGCAGAAGAGGGAAGAAAACACACAAGGACAGTGAGGCGGCCTGTCAGTACGCCCACCCCCTACCACCATTTTTGTTTGTTTTTACCTTGATTTGCTGAGTGTGTGCCCTTTCATAGTCAAATAAACTTTATTCCCACTGCTTTTGAAAATAAAAGCATTTTCACCGCACCAAACAGGACTACTATTTTAAAAGCTAAACTAGGTGATGAAACCAGGGCAGGTTCACCATGCGCACAGTTTTATAGAAAGTACAAGCATGCATGCACATGTACGTGCAAGGAAGAAGTGCGGAAGGGTGTTCCAGCACGGTACTGTGGCTCTCCCGGACGGAGACACCACGGGCAATGTTCCTTTTCTTCTTTATACTCACTTATGTTTTCCAATGTTTATGATGAATTCATACTACAATTACTTAAGAATGTAGCCTCTAAAGAGAAATACTGAGAAATACTCAACTCACGATAAACGATATTATCTTGAAAAACACTGCACAGAAGCAAATAATCTTTGCTTTACTTTCAACTGAAGAAAGCCCTTCGAGACCTCCCAAGAAAAGACAACTACAGAACCCCAGGAACCAGGCAGGCAGGGATGGGTACAGAGTTCAAGAACAGACAAACTCCCCTCAGTGAAGGCCCAGACCGGCTGGACCACAGCGCCGTGGCAAGGAGGAGGAGGGAGACAACCCACGACACAGGTGGGGACCCACGCGCAAATGACAGATGGCGCCTGTGCGGACATCAGGGCCAGGGACCTATCCTCCCCAGTGCAAATCTCCACTGGCTCAGCACAGGCCTTCTGCGTGAAGGGGCTGTTACTTCTCTGTTTGTTCCATACTTAGGGCCATCGTGCTGGGTGAGTGCCCTCGAGGAGCTGGGTCCAGGGAGGGAAAGAAAATTAAAAAGCAAACACAACAGAATGTGATGTGTGTCACAGGAAGGGCTTGGCAGTTTGGCCACACGGCAGAACAAGCCAACGATGAGCCCGCCTGGCTGAACGCACCTGGAAAGACTGGAGAAAACAGAGCCTAAGGGCCCCCAGCTGCGAGACGTCACAGAGCCTGAGGGAAAGAGAGCGCCCCGGGGCCAGGCACTTTGTGGGAGCCTTGTTCCAGGCCAAGTGTCCGAGCATGAGCGCGTGCAGCTCTGGGGGACACGGGGGGGTCTACACAGCGGCCCGGGAGTGCGCTGCTCACACAAGGCCAGGGAACGTCCTGCCGGCCACCTGTCCACAGGGACGGCGTGGCAGGAAGAGCACAACCTGGAGCCGTTCCACCCGGACTTCCCCGTGGCAGCCGCCAGCGTGCACGCCGGCGCTTACCGTTCAGAAGCTGCAGCTCCAGGAAGGTGGCGGAACACACTTTACACACCCACGGGCTGGGCTCGGACTCCACCGCGGCGCTGCTTTCTGGCGTGCCCGCAGCTTCGAGAGAGCAGAGGGAAGGGTGATGCAGAGCAGCGCGTCGCCCCCAAGCCCAGCGCCGCGGGGGGCGCACCTCTCCGCCCGGGGGCCGGCGCTGTGGAGGCGGTCAGCACGGCTCCCCTCTCGGCCCCGCTCCCCGGGCTTCGCACGCTTGGACTCCTGCGGTCCCCAGGGACGCCCCCATTTCACAGGTGTGGAGACTGAGCACAGTCAGGTGGTGCTGGATCGGCGCAACGCGGGGTCTGTCGCCAGTCACAGAAACGTGACTCCTCCCGAAGCCGGGCCAGTGGGACCAGATGCATCCCTCTGCACGACTTCGAGAAAGAAACCCTTCAGATCAAACTGAATTCCTCAGTCTCTCTCTGGCTCGTACGAGAGAGACCGGCTGTCAGTGTGCCCTGGGCCCGGTGTGGGGGGGGCTCCGCAGAACTTTCTGCGCCGATCACTCTGAATACGCCTCGCATTTGAGGTGGCAGGCGCTTGGGGCTCCTGCCCCTGAGGAACCGAGGTTTTAATTCTGTCTAATTTGCATTAGAATTGAAGAGTGGGCAGGCAGCCGCTATGAAGGGCCCTCAGCCCCTCTTCCTCGCACCCCAAAGACGCGTGGGCAGGGCTCAGGGAATGGGGGAGACACTGGCTGTGCAGAGGGGAACCGCAGCTCCCTTGTCAACAATCCTACTCCATGGACCTAAAAACTGGGGACATTCTCAGCGAGCCTCCGGCCGTGATCCCCTGGCACGGCCCCGTCTCTCCAGGCCCTGTCGGGCGGCCCCAGGTGCCCTCACCACCACTCCCACTCGGCCACCGCATGACCCATCACATGCAACACTCCGGGGGGCCGCCCGGTCAGCAAACTCCTGCGTCCTTAAACAAAAATCACCCAGAATCGCAGCTGCACATGCATTCGGAGCAGGGACAAAGCACCCCTCTTTCTGTATCCAAACCAGCAACAAGGTTGCAAAGACAGGAAGCAAGAGATGCAGGCCATGGCCCTAACTGTTGGTGTCCATTTCCTGAGTCCTCCTCAGATAATAAGGGGAAAACGTGTGATGTGAAATGCTCGGTTATACGAACACAGGAAGAGCAGGAGGGGTCCGGAGCAGGTGCCGTGGGAGACCCGCGGTCTAGGGGACGTTCCAGGCCAGCCAGCCCTCTGCTCTCCCTCGCCCCCCGCGGATCCACTGCACAAAGACTGTCAGGACGAGATCACGGATGAATGGGAGCCAGAGCTGAATTCCCGCTTCTCACTCACCTTCTTAAACACACGTGGCTCGAAAGAGGGGAGGAGACATTTGCATGTGACAGGTTCAGGAAGGGATGAGGAGTGGGTAAGATGGAAGGACACCTGTGAATCCAGGTCATTTCTTCTGGCCCCCAGGGGCTGCCATCTCCAGTGGGACGGTCCCCACCCCCACAAACGGGATTCAAACTAACGTGACATGAGAAGCCCTTCTCTTCAACCTGCGCTGAGGTCAGTCAAAAGGACCAACTAGAAGGACCCGTCGTGACCTCTGTCCCCCCCACCCCCCTGTCAAGGGAAGAACTCTATTTTCCAAAAATTATCGCTAAAAGATCAGAATTTTTAAGAACAAAAACGACCTGGGCGCCTGGGTGGCTCAGTTGGTTGAGCGACTGCCTTCGGCTCAGGTCGTGATCCCGGAGTCCCGGGATCGAGTCCTGCATTGGGCTCCCTGCTCGGCAGGGAGTCTCCTTCTCCCTCTGACCCTCCCCGCCTCATGCTCTCTCTCTCATTCTTTCTCTCTCTCAAATAAATAAATAAAATCTTAAAAAAAAAAAAGAACAAAAACGAGCCAACAATCAGAAGGCAGTTCACCATGGCCCATCACTTAAACGTCCAACAAAAGAGACCCGTCAAAGCAACAGAAACACCGCCCGGTGACAAGCGATGCAGCACAGGGAGCGACAGGAGGGCTGATACTGAAGGCGGACGGCGAGTTACAAGTACGCCTGGGAACGCGCGCAGCGAGACCTCGCCTGTGGGACAACGCGGGGCTCTGTTGGAGACCAGGAGGGACACAGCTCAGCTGCAGGGATGGAAGGCAGCTTGCTGGGCGCCAGGGGCCCGAGCGCAAAGCCACACGAGGGAACCGAGAGACCCCTCTGGGCCGGTGACGATGTTCTCGACCTCGGCTGTGGCGCGGCTGACACAACCGGCCACCTCTATCGAAACCCCCTGAGCTGCGCACCGAAAACTGCCAAGTCTTCTTATGCGCAAACTATACATCAGCCGGGCTGATTTTTAACAGATACCGCGAACTGCTAGTCAAAAATGCAAGAGTCATTAAAATGGTGATTGAAAACAGTTTTCCACATGTTATAGATGTGTGTACATTTTATCTTTTTCACTAGAAAAGTACTTTTGAAGATAGGATGACAATATCTGAGGACCGCAGCCGATGTGCGCCCTCGCGCCTGCCCATTTAGACCCATGCGCTTCCTGGCCCCTCCTTCCTTCACCTGTCAACAGGTCCATCTGGGCAAAGCAAGGAAACCAACTTCAATGTCAGCCCAAGAAAAAATGTGAAAAGTAAATCTCCTACCCGGAAAAAAATATAGTAGAAGTTATTTTTTTTCAAGGACGTGTCTGATCCTCCGACTTTGCTGTGTTGAGAAGTCAGCTCTGCCATCTGCAAATTGGCTGATTTCTATAACCGAGATGCATTTTGAAGCAAATTTGAAAAAGAGGCCGAATGAAATTAATGAGTCTCCACACTTCTGATGCTCACCAAGAAAGAGTCTGAATGATTTATGGGCAGACAGCTCCTTGTCCACTGGCCCCCAGCACGATTCTTCTAGAACGTGGCGGTGGTCCCTAAGGCCCATTCGCCTTGCTGTGCCCCTCCTCCACTGGGCCCAAGGCATAGTGATGGCCACAAGGGCCCCCTTCCCTCCACTCCACTGCAGGGGTCTCGAGGGCGTGCAGACCAGAGGCCTCGTCGCTGGGAAGGGGAGGGTAAGCCCTCTCCCGACCTGTCAGATCGGGGTAATCAGAGTCACGCGGATGGCCAGCTTTCTGGCTGGTCCAGGCCCCTCTTCACAGGTCTTGGCACCTACTCTAGTGTCTAAGAAGCTGGCATGGTGGGCTCCCAACAAAATGTTTCAGCTAGGGGAGCACCCAAGACTGCTCGGCGCGGCCCCAGGCACTCAGGGCAGGCAGGGCTGGAGCAGGGCTCTAGAAGCTCCGCTGGGCGGCAGGGCTTTGGGAAGGGGCTGGGCAGGAGAACAGGGTGGTGGAGGCAGGGTGCGGCAGCCTGGGGTGGCTGCTGGGTCACTGTTTTACCACAGGCACCGTGCACGGTGGTGGATGTCGCGTGTCCTCTGGGGAGTTGCCAGCACCACCTGAGCTAAGCCATCACTCAGCAGGTATAAGAAATGAGGGACCCAACTAACCAGCCAGTTAACAGTAGTCAAGAACTTCCGCTACATTTCTATGAAACACTTGCCTGCCATTTCTCCCAAAACAGAGTGAAACACCATAAAAAGTATTTCTAAGATTTCAGAGTGCCTAAGTTGCTTATTTGCTTTCCTGATTCCAGACTCATTTTGGGGGACTGTGCCTTCCAGCTGATGGGGACGTGATGAGCCATCGTGTCCCGCGTTCTCAGAAGGAACACACGGAGGACGAAGGACAGCCAGCTCAGGATCCCCCAGGAGGGTGGCTGGGGGCAAATAAGGAGGCAGCTGTCTGGGTCGACACAGACCAGACCAATTTCGTTAGAATCTCCCTTCTCAGACGCAGCTCCAGATTAGAGAGCTCTCCCGTAGGTAAAAGCAAGCAGAACTGCAACTCTGGGAAGGGGGCAGCAAGGTTGCTCTTTGACCTGAGTCTCGTGAGGGGGGAGACGTCATGCAAGACACAGCGGACAAGGCCAGCCTTTAATGACCCACACCATGACCTGCAGTCTGGCTGGCCCCGGGGCATGCACATCAGCTGCCCAGGCCGGAAGGAATCTGGAACACGAGAAAGCCAGATCGGGAAGATCCTGAAGATCTTGCACGGCACCCGTGAGCCTGGCCGCACCACGCTCCAGAGTGATGCCTGGCCCAGTGGGACACGTCAGTGCCTCCTAATGTGCAAATCCTAAAGGTGGGCTTGGGAGCAGCCGGGTGAAAAGCTGTGGGTCTCTCCAAATTCTTACTGTGGCCTTCACTACCAAAATAAAGTACACTCCATAAAGCTCCCAGTCTTCCTCTGCAAGTATCTCTGTGAAGGTGGCAAGCCCTCCACAGCCACCAGAACCGGAGTGCAGGCCATCTGGCCATCTGGCTCCCCACTGACATTCCCCGAGAGCACTCTCAGTGGCTCCACACTCCCCCCCGCCCACCACCCAGCCTTTAGCGTGTGGAAGAGTGGCCCCCCGAAATTCACATCCGCCTGCAATCTCTGTATCGAGTCTTTGCAGACGTCATTAAGAGGGCGGACCCTCAATCCAGTGACTGGTGTCCCTACAAGAGAGAACACAGAGACACAGGGGAGAGAAGGCCACACGAGGACAGGGACAGGGATCAGGGTGACGCATCTACAAGCCAAGGAATGCCAAGGGTTGCTGGCCACACCAGAAGCCGGGAGAGGCCTCTAGAAGGAACGAGCTCTGCCAACACCTGGTCAGGGCCCCCAGGCTCCGGGGCTGAGAGGCAGCCCCTTTCTGTTGTTTGAGCCTGCTTAAGGTCTGCTTGGTTTGGGCAGCCTCACGGACGCCTCTCCTCACACCGCCAGCTCAGGGAAAACCAGGAGGGCTCCACGGGGGGCAGGGGGGGCAGGTCACAAAGCCGCGATCACCTGGGACGGACCAGAGCCTTAAAAATACATTAAGGCCCTCTTTGTATCACATCGTGTTCATAAGAGAAAGGAAACCATTTCCTGTCAGAATCCAGCAGTGCGGGGGGCGGGGGTCAGAGCAAAGAGGCTATTTCTCCCCCTGAGCAAGTAACTGTGGCAACAACAGGTGCGCCTGCCCCTGGTGGCACCAGGTACACGTGCGGCGGCTCACGACCTGGCAGGAGGGCCCCTTGACACAGTGAGGCCCCACACCCCGGGGCGGCAGGTGACTAATTCTGGGCTGCTTTTCCCACGGGAAAGCTGGATTTGGGCAAATCACACATACGACCTTCGCCAGGTCCTTCCCGGACACATATGCACAAACACACACGCACGCATGCACGCACCCACACGCCCCTGCGCACCCCCCCCAGATCTGGAGGAGGCTGCCACAAGCCGGAGAGCACCAGCCTGGAGCCAGATTCCAGGTCCGAACCCCGACTCCTCCATCTCCTGCACTGTGACTCAGGGCAGGTTCCCCAACCTCTCTGTGCTCCGTTTCCTCTGTCCCAAAACAGAGACGATCGCCCGACCACGTGCCCTTGCAGGACGGTGGGTGGGGAGGAGTTACCGCATCGAAAGCCCAGAGGGCAGAGCTGAGTACCAGCCGGTCGTGCCCCAGCACCCCGATTCCCCAGCCGGCGTCCGGCTTAGGGGGAGCCCAGACCCTGAACAAGCAGAACGGCAGACCCAGGCCCGCGGGGTCAAGGGCAGCCCCCGGCCCCCCCACGCCACAGCGGCTCGCCGGCACAGCGCCCCCTCGGCCACCAGGCAGCGGGGCCGCGTGTACCGTGGGCTCCAGAGCAGGCCTGCTTCAGCATGGGCTTGTCCATCTTCTTGGCGTAGAAGGCGGCGTACCACACGCGCAGCTCGGCGCCCGGGGGGATGTCCCTCGAGGTGGTGAAGTACACGTCGTTGCCGTGCTGGTAGGCCGTCAGGTTCTGGTGCTCGGGCCCCACTGCCGGCCGCACCAGCATCATCCAGTTGCAGTCGTCCTCGTTGGAGGTGTCGAAGCACACGGGGTGCCCGTCCTTCTGGAACACCTGGGGGGGGCACGGCCGCCAAGGGGCCAGGGAAGGAGCTGGTTAGCCACCCGTCGCAGGTCAGCGCGTGTGTGTGTGGGGGGGGGGGCGGGGGGCAACCAGTCCAGACGGGGCCAGGTCAGGCTGCACATAGAACCCGTTTCAGGGCTCAGGGGGCACCTGAGTTCTCTGCACGGCCCAGGTGGGAACTGGGACAACTCAGGTCTACTGGTCCGGGTATAGAGGCTGGACTCTCAGGCTCTAATCGGTTCCCAGTGGGCGTAATGACACCTGGTCCAGGGATCACCGCGACACCTGAGCGCTCGCCCTGCTCAGGTGGCATCTGGACACCTGAACGCCGTGCACGGCCCAGCTGGGGATGAGGATGCCTAAGTTGTCCCGGGGCTCCGCATGGGCACCGGGACACCTGCGCGCCTCCCTGCTCTCACAGGTGTCCAGTAACTCCGGTCAGTCCCGCAGGCTGCGCCCTGGCCCCTAACACCGCCTGATGGATGGCAACGGGGGAGAAACGTTGATATTCTGAAGTTCAAAGTCACCACACGAGTAGAGGAGGGTCTGGCCCTCTTTTCTGATGCCAACGCTGCTTCCCTGCTCTCCCCTCTCTGAGCTTTTCCCACAGGGGCTCCCCACTGCTAAGGAGCTAGAGGCCCCCTCTGAGGATGGGGCCCTTGGAGGCAGAGGGGGCCTCCAGCGAGGCCGTGCTGAAAACAACTCAGTATCTGACACAGACCTGGAGAACCGAGTCACTGAAGGAAGCCAAAATGGGCACAGAGGACTTTTCAAAGGGGCCTCGGCCCGACCATGTGCCCACATCAACTGTGTGCATCCAAGCACCCCAGGTCCCGCGAAGGATGGCAGCCAATGGCCTTCATGGGGCGTGGCCTCCGGCTTCTTTATTCCTTCACATAAAACAGCCTTTCTTTCTTTCATTTTTTGTTGGCAAACAAATCAAATACTTTTCCTTCCTTCCCATTTTGCTGAAATCTGCCTTGTAAGCTCGACTTTTCCCAGAACTGCCAAACCCCGAGGCTACCCATCTCAGGCCTGTCCTGAACACGTGGCTATCTGCCAGGCCTCTAGGAAAAGCTCACTCTGTGGGTCACTGCAGCAAGACCAGCACCCTGGTCCTCACCGCTCACGGCAACAGACCTTTCTGGAGGCGCACCTGGACCGGGTGCATGCTGGAGGTGGGGACAGAACCGGAGTCCCCGGCCCCTGGCGCGTCCACACGCCTTCCTTCGAGAACTCAAAGCCTTCCCTGCACCTGACATCCATTCTGTTTTGCTCCATTTCACATAAAAGCTGTCTTTTCTCTGATGTGCTTTTTAGAGCCGCTCGACTTTGCACCCGTGTCTCAACGCTGCCTAAACGAAACCCCTTCCTTCTGAAGGAGCTCTGCCAAGTCTCAGTCACTCACTCAGGCGTGAGCGTGCTCGCACTGACAAGGCCCCACGACGCGCAGAAGGCAGTGCCCGGAGGCTCCACGCCAGTCCGGGCCGTGAGAGAAGTGAGGGCGGCCTGGGGGGTCTGCTCTTGCACGTGTTCTCAACACCCCCTTCAGGGGCTGGCGAAGTGGAAAAGTGCAAAATACTAGCTCCACCTTGATGCTTTTGACATAAAAACAAACTAGAATAAAAGGAGAACCACTGTCGTGGAAGACAGTGGAACCAGGACCGTCGAAGCCGCAGAAGACACCGATCAATCAGTGGGACGCACGGCTCTCCTCACACAGGGTGGGGGGCAGGTCGCGCCCGTCCCCTCCCCAAGCTGGCCCCGGCCCGTACCTTCAGCGGGAACGCAGATTCCTTCTCCCATTTGGCCACTCTCCTCGACTCAAACGGACCAAACTGTGTTCTCTTGACGAGCTGGGTCACGGCAAACACTCCTTCGGCTCCGTCTTCCAGTCGCCTGATCTCCAGGTTGGAAGGGAGAGATGATCTAGAAATGGAACAGGAGGCCCTCAGCCCTCAAGTGCCGCTGGCTGAGGACAGCCACTCACACCGGGAACAGATGGGTAAGACAGCCCACAGGCTCGCTCTTGCTGAAATACCATCCTCGGGGGTGAGAAGGAGCTTCCTACTGAGGACAGAGGGGGTGATGGGCCAGCGGCCAGTGCACACCTGGCTCCTTAACGGCCTGAGCCACAGGAGACCAGCCCCAGGGCCCTGGCACAACTCACCCAGGGCCCATGCAGAGGGAGGGGCCGCTTACTAAAGGATGTGTTTGACATCCCCCCCACCCAGGAGACATCACGGGCGGGGGCTGCAATGGGCCAGGGGAGGTGAATGGGACCGAGCTCTCATCCCCAGAGCCGCAGAGCCCACAGAGAGGCGGGGGGAGCGCCACGATGAGGTGCCGAGTGCAGAGCACCACGAGAAAGGGAAAAGCGCCACGGCATTCCCAGGGAGCAGAAAAGGGTTTCCAACTAGGCTGAATGGGCCAATCCTGTTGAGGATGCTTTTACCTAAATGCTGAGAGTGTGGAGGACGGGGCGCTGAAAAGAGGAAGGCCCGTGGGCTGGAACCCCAGCACGAGCCAAGGCTTGGGCAAGCCTGACCCACATCCACGAGCAGGTGGGACACTGGGGAGCCTGGAGCGCAGCCCCCTCCCAGGGCCGAGCAGAAGGCCGGGCTGAGGAGGAAGAACCCAATCATGGAGGGTTCCCGCCACGGGACTGATAGCTGCCACTGGCGTTTCGTGGGCAACAGGTAACCAGTGAAGGTTTTGGGGGAGAGCTGATGAGGTCTCTACTTCAGGCAAAGACAGTAATCTCTTTTGAGAAGGTGAGTCACTGGAAAACCAGTTGGGAAGCTTCTAGAAAGAGCACCAAGATAATAACGGTGTCTCCATGAGTCAGGTACTGTGTCTAACATAACACAGGTCACACCTCTGCAGGGGGGCCAGGATGGAGAACAGAACGCCTTGTCTCAGTTCAAACAGCCCCCATGTGGCTGACCCAGACTGTGGACAGACTGTCTCTCAGAGCCCTGGCTCCAGCCCCCCAGGTGCCACGTCCCCCCAGGTGCCCAGACGAGAATGGCAGAGCCACCGAATCTCCTCATTAGATCTGCTGGTGTTTCTCCAGAAGCTGTGACCTGCCCTCACTGCCCCGGTCCCACGCAGCCCACAGCAGGCGTCCGTTAGACGGCAGGCTTAGGTTTGGGCCATGGGGAAAATGGAATGAGCAGAGAGGCAGCCTCGGCCCATCGGCTCTTCCACGGCTGCCATGCTTGGTCCTTGGGGACGCTGAACTAGAACAAGAGATTCGCTCTGAACCCTTCCAAATATGTCCTGGCTTATCCTGGTGGCAGGCTGCTCCGTTCACCGTGGGATGGAAATCACAGATGTCCTCTGCAACCTGAGGACAGTCACGCTCCAAGTCCTGCCTTCTCTTTTTGCAGTTTCCTCCTGTGATATCACGATTTATAAGAAATATGCATTTGGTCGTTCCGATGACCAAATACGTTTCTCAGACTTAAGTGCTTCATCCACAGTTCCCAAAAACACTTCTGAGCCATAATGAAGGTGACTTTTAGACCCCACCAGCCACATGGGTAGAGGGCTGGAACTTCCAGTCCCTGCCCCCGCCCCCACCACCAGGGCGGGAGAGGGGCTGGAGGTTGGGTCAGCCAATGCAGTGACTCAGGCAGTCATGCCTACATAACGAAGGCTCCAGGAAACCCAAAAGGACTAGGTAGGGAGCTTCTAGGCTGGTGAACATGTGGAGGTGCAGGGTCTTCATCTGGGTGTTCAGTCATATCATTTATCACATCCTTTAATAAACTGGTTAAAGTAAGTGTTTCCTAGAGTTCTGTGACAGCCTGGGGCTTGCGGCTGGCATGTGGAATGGGGGTGAGGGGCGGTCTTGTAGGACTGCGCCCTGATCCTGTGGGGTCCAATGCCATCTCTGGGCAGACAGGGTCAGAGCTGAATCCTGCCAGTGTCTGTGCGGGGAACCCCACGTTGGAATTGGGTCCAGGGACCCTGAAAGGCCTCCCCTTTCTGCAGATGTAGGGTCCACATTCAGACAGTCCTGTTTGACAGGAAGGACTAAAGTCAGCTCAAGGCAGCCACTCACCGTGCCCTGCTTAACACAAAGGAGTCTTTGACCATGACCACGGGGCCCAGCTCAGGACATTCGGAGTCGTGGTACTGGCTGCAATCCTCACACCCTGCATCAGAAACGAAAGCATCAGTGGGGACAGGGTGCTGGGAGGGGCCCCCCAGGGCATCGCAGGCTCCATGCCCGGTGGGGTGACCCACGGTGCTCCCCACATGTACGAAAACAGTGCAAACACAGGACGTGGCCCCCAAGGAAAAGCCTTCCCTCTGTGGCACATTTCAAAGTATGTAGTGACTCTACACTAACAAAGAATGAGATCTTCCCGAGGAATGAGAATAAACAAAAACTCACCTATTTAACCTGTTTGGCATAAATCTAACGTATCATAAATCTCTTTGCAAACCCCCGGCTTACTTTTCTGAATCTAGTGCTACCCTCTGCAAAGTGGCCTTTGCCCAGCATTCTGAGAAAGATGATCCTTTTAAAACCACACCCCTGCAGTGCATTTTTTGTGCAATAAACGTGTTTCTTAAAGCAAGCAAAGTCATTTCAACTTAAAAAGAAGCAGCTTTTCTGTCATATAAAAACAAAACGTGGATGTGGCTTTGCTGGGACAGTAAAAGCCCGCCCATGCTCGAGGACAAGCCAGGGGCTACTTACAGATGAACATGATCTCCTCACTCCCGTCTTCAGCCATTTCTGACACCTGTCAGGGAACAAGGGCGTGTTGTTAATAATGAGCTTTTTACCAAAGCAATATTTATTTATTTATTTATTTATTTATTTATTTATAAAAGAATTGGATTTTTTTTTTTTAAGGTTTTATTTGAGAGAGAGAGAGAAAGAGAGAGAGATCATGAGCAGGGGGAAGGGTAGAGGGAGAAGCAGACACCTCACTGAGCAGGGAACCCAACACGGGACTCGATCCCAGGACCCTGAGATCATGACCTGAGCCAAAGGCAGACACTTAACGACTGAGCCACCCAGGCACCCTTGCCAAGCAATTTTTAAAGACAAGTCCTGTTAAAGGTTCCTCGAGCCCGTGTGGGGACCTTACCTGGAGGTCTTAAAGGCACCAAGCAGTGTGGTCCCCTTTATTGTGATGAGGCTGGGGGCTTTGAGCTGTTTTCTCACCTAAAATAATGTTTTTGTTTTTGTTTTTTTATTAAAAGCAGTTGATTTGAATGTCTTCTAGATTAGAAAGTCTTTATGAACTCAGACTTTCATTTTTTATGTTAGCCAAAGGTTTCCACTGGTAAAATAAACATATCACCATTTTTAAAAGCCGGTTTCACGCTGTCACCACTGCTTCTCTTTCCTCCGTCACTGGGCTGTGAACTCCTCAAGGACACTCATGTCTAGTACGACCTCTGTCTTCCTTCAGCCGCTACCCCAGGCCTGACACCCAGTGCACACCCATGTCTCCTGGGGACCAGAGAGAGCATCATGGAGGAGAGCGCTCCTGCTCACCACATAAAACTCTATCAGGTCAGTCACTTCTGTTTTCTGTTGATCCTGTGAGGTTAGAACCCCCCACTTATTTGGGGGATGATCTGGACATGTTGATTCTGGGGCCTAGATTCTTTGACCTATAACATGGAAATAAAGATGCTCACCTAATTGAAAGACCTGGTACTCTGAAAACTAGAAAACACTGATGAAAGAAACTGAAGAGGACAGAAACAAATGGAAAGACATCCCATGCTCATGGATTGGAAGAACAAGTATCGTTAAAGTGTCCGTACTACTCAAAGCAATCTACATATTTAATGCAATCCCTATTAAAGTACCACCAGCATTTTTCACAGAATTAGAACAAACAATCCTAACATTTGTATGGAACCACAAAACACCCCAAACAGCCAAAGCAATCTTGAAAAAGAAAAACTAAACTGGAAGTATCACAATCCAAGATTTCAAGATATACTACAAAGCTGTAATCATCAGAACAGTATGGTACTGGCACAAAAAGAGACTCATAGATCAATGGAACAGAACAGAGAACCTAGAAATAAATCCACAATTATACAGTCAACTAATCTTCAACAAAGGTGGCAAGAATATGCAAGAGGAAAAAGACAAATAGTGTTGCGAACACTGGTCAGCTACATGCAAAAGAATGAAACTGGACCACTTTCTTACACCAAACACAAAAATAAACTCAAAATGGATTAAAGGCCTAAATGGGGGGACCTGAACCCATAAAAACCCTGGAAGAGAGCACACATGCAGTACTTTCTCTGACATCAGCCACAGCAACATTTTCTAGATAGGTCTCCTAAAGCAAAGGAAATAAAAGCAAAAATGAACTATTGGGACTACATCATAATGAGAAGCTTCTGCACAGGGAAAGAAACAGTCAACAAAACAAAAAGGCAACCTACAGAATGGGAGAAGATATTTGGCAAATGACATATCCAATAAAAGATTATTATTCAAAAGAACTGATACAACTCAACATCCAAAAAACCAAATAATCTAACTTAAAAATGGGCAGAAGACATGAACAGACATTTCTCTAAAGAGGACATCCAGATGGCCAACAGACACATGTGAAGATGTTCTTCATCACTCATCATCATCCAGGAAATCACCTCCCACCTGTCAGAATGGCTAAAATCAATAACACAAGAAACAACAAGTGTTGGCGAGGATGTGGAGAAAGGGCTAACCCTCTTACACTGCTGGTGGGAATGCAAACTGGTGCAGCCACTCTGGAAAACAGTATGGAGGGTCCTCAAAAAGTTAAAAATAGAGCTACCTATGATTCAGTAATTCCACTACTGGGTATTTACCCAAAGAACACAAAAACATTAACTGAAAGGAGTACATACGCTCCAATGTTTACAGCAGCATTATCTACAATAGCCAAAATACTAGAACAGTCCAAGTGTCCATCAACTGATGAATGGATACTGTTGTCTCAAAATCCCCTTAGCACTCAGATGGTCCCTCCACACGGGGAAGTCCAGTCTCTGGACATTCGCGGCATGTAAGAAATTCCAGGATGACGGAGTATACATAGTGTTTTAGGGAAGATAACCCAAAAAGACCATAAGCGTGAGATTTGGCCATTTTAACCCCCATCCTGGGAAAAGTTACCTTATGCCAGTGATTCTCCAAGAGTGGTCCGTGGACCAACACCAGCAGCACCTGAGAATTTCTCAGGAATGCAAATTCTCGGGCCCCTCCTCAGACCTGCTGAAGCCGACTCTCTGGGATGGGTCCTCGCACCCCGCCCTCACAGAGCCCCAGGTCATTCTGCTGCACCCTGCCTCTGAGCACCACTGCCCACCCTCCCATCTGCCTAGTACCCATATGACCACTGCAACAAGAAACAACGAGCCACAGCTGGGGTCACGGGGAGACCACACTAACAGCATCAGGAAACCAAACTTATCATGAATGCCAGATGGGCTCAGACCAGGCATATCAGCTGGGGGAGCTGGGGGTGGAGGCGATGCCAGACAAACGTTCCCTGTGGTGACGAGCTCCCAGGCAGGCCCCAGGGATACCAGCTGTGAAAATCAGCCTTGAAAAAGAAGGCTTCCATGAGGATGCCGCTGGTGGTGAAGGGACAGGCCCAAGGTCAATGGAAACCGAGAAACAGACCCACACAAACAGGCTCAGTGGGTTTTTGGTGGGCACGTAAAAGCTACTCATGAAGGAAGGACAGACAGCCTTCTCGGCAAGTGGTGTTGGGGCAAGTGGATGCGGGGGCGGTAATGAGCCTTGATGTCACATCTCATACAAAAATTAACTCATCACGATCCTAGACCTAAAACATAGAATAGTAACATCTTTTAGAAAAATATAGGAGAAAATCATTGAGACCTAGGGTAGGCAGTTTTTAGACTTCTCACCAAAAGAATCGTCTATAAACAGAAAACGAATTAGACTTTATCATAATTTAAAATTTTGCTCTACAAAAGACACGGTGAGGAGGGTAAGAAGACCAGCTACAGACCGGGAGGTATCTTGGCAAACCACCCATCCAAACCTCGAACGTGCCAAGAACTCTCAAAGCTCACCAGTAAAACACAAATGATCCAATCGGTAAATGGGCAAAGGACACAAAATATGTTTCAGCAAGGAAAATACGTAAGTGACAAGCACAGGAAATGGTGGCCGCCCCCATCGACCGCCAGAGAGACACATTCAACAGGTCACCGAGAGGTCAGGGTGCTCCTGTCCGAGCGGCGCAGGATGAGGGAACCCGGGCACCTATGGGCGGCTGGCGGGAGTGGAGACCAGCCAGCGGTGTCTCATGAAACCAACATGCACTTGGCCTGGGAGCACAACAGCCCAGATTGGAAACAGGCCCCGCAGCGCCCCCATAGTGACCCCGGTCTGTGGTCCACCCACACCTGCAGACTTGTCCGCAATGAAGAGGAGCGAGCCACTGATACGCATCAGGTTCTGGGGGACCCTCCAGAACGGTGCTACGGACACCAATCCCAAAGGTCACATACTGTCTGATCCCATTTATATAACCTCCCTGAAATGACGAAATACAGAGATGGGGACTCGAGTCGTGGCTGGTGCGGGTTCGGGACGGACGGCGGGTGAGGCTGTAAGGAGGGAGCAGGAGGGCCCCCCGTGGGGGTGGGGTGCTCCGTACCTGCACGGTGTCACCATCACCGTCACCATCCTGGACGGGACCCCATGCTGGAGTCCTGCATGGTGTCACCGATGGGGCTCTGGGCAGAGGGCACATGGGGTCGCTCTGCAGTCTCTCTTACAGCTGCATGGGAATCCACAGTTATCTCAAAATTAAAAGTTCAATTAAGATATGGAGGGAAAATCTACAGATTTGAAGTGACTTTTTTTTTTTTTAAGATTCTATTTATTTGAAAGAGAGAAGAGAGCACAAGCAGGGAGAGTGGAGGGCAGAGGGAGAGGACGAAGCAGGCTCCCTGCTGAGCAAGGAGCCCGATGCGGGGCTCGATCCCAGGACCCTGGGATCATGACCCGAGCCAAAGAGTTGGACGCTGAGCCGACTGAGCCACCCAGGCGCCCCACTGAAGTGACTTCCAGCACAGCGCAGTGTGGCCCGGATCCTGATGGAAACAGCGTGTGTGACTTTCACTGGATAGCTGGAAAGCCAAACTCTGGTGGTCGAGCACATTAAAGAACTAGCATTAGATGTTTCAGGTGGGCTGGGGATCGTGGTTCCTGGTCAGGCTCCTTCTGCAGAGATGCGGACTGAAACACAAACTCAATCCTGGGGCCAGGGTTTGCTTCCACGCACTACCAGTGGGGACTCCCAGACAGGGACACACGGGGCAGATCGGCCAGGTGATGGGGTCCGTGCAGGCTGGCGCCTGCTGGCCTGCTGACTGTTTTGTGTGCTCGAAGTCTTCATAATAAATTATCTGTAAATGGTGCCAACACACACTCGTCCCGTGTCTGTTCTTCCATTCACTCTTGCGTCCTTCCACCAAGCTGGCTTAGGACAGGGTGTCTTTTTCTTCACCTCACCTGATTGGTCGCCTGGGATGCGGCCAACCACTGTCCTCTCTTGCCCCCCCCAGCCAATCTCCCGTGGGGGATTCCTCCTCCAGCCCACCCCAGTCTGGGCTCTCCTGGGGCACAGCCCCACCCCTTCCCACGGCTCCTCTGCAGGACCCCTCCCCAGGCAGCCACACCCAATTCCATGCCTAAGTGAATACCATGTGCGGGCTGGTAACACTCCAAGGAGTCCCA